AGGGAAACTTCAAACTTGGCATGGTGATTGGTCATGACCAGCAGATGACCCCTAGGTTGATTTTTGGGGTCAAAGGTCAAGGTCACATTGACCTTGTATGTTAAAAACGGTTTCCGATCAATAATAAGAGAACCCTTAGGCCTAAGAACTTCAAACTTGGCAATGGTGATTGGTCATGACCTGCAGATGACCCCTATTGATTTTGGGTTAAGGGGTCAAAGGTCAAGGTCACATTGACCTTGTACGGTTAAAAAAGGTTTTCTGATCAATTTACTAAAAAACGCCTAGGCCTAGGAACTTCAAACTTTGTTATGATGATTGGTCGTGACCAGCAGATGACCCCTATTTGAGTTTTGGGTCAAGGGGTCAAAGGTCAAGGTCATGTACCAGTAGATACTTTATAACCCTTATTAATTGTTTGATCACTGGGTCAGAAGTCATGCATAATAATCTTATCACATGACTAATTGGCTGCTGATAGGGGGCATACATGTTTTACAAACATATCTTGTTGTTTACTGAAGGGATATCTAGAAGTTTATTGGGTGTACATTAGGGCTATTAAAAAATATCAGCAAACAGCAACCAGTTATTTAAAGGTTACATAATGAAGTAAATTTTAGGGGTTTTAAAAAATTTAAACTGTTTGTAATTAGTTAAAGGGTAATTTTTTTTTTACTTTTATTTAAAAAAATTTAATGAAGAGGGTTTTTTTTTATTAACTCTTTAATTTTCGAAACCTTGGACAATGCATTTGGGAATTTTTGTATTGAAAAAATGGGGATATGGTTCACATATAAAAAGAAAAAAAATTTTCATGCTTCCCATTTTAAAAATAATTTAAAGTAATAGGACCCTTTTTTTTCCTTTTTGTCATTTTTTTAATCAACATCTTTTAAATTTTTCTAACCCTTTTTTAAAACCACCTTTTTTTTTTCAGAAAAGAATGAAAATGTTTATTTGTTGTCTGATATGTGTGAATAAGGTATATCTATGTGTAAATTATACACATGTGTAAAAAGAAAATCATGAATGAATCCTTCAGATGTCGGAGAATAAATATTTTTTATCAAATCGATAAGTTTTGAATATTAGTAGCTTTAATGGCAAATGGCAATTTCATAAACAGTTTTGTGTACTTGACATTGTTGAAGCTGAAGTTTGGGTTGTTTTGCTGTAAGTAATGTAATAATGTCCTGAGACAGAGAGTCATGAAAAGATTTTCAAAAACAAAAGCAGGCGCTTACAAGGATAAAAGCAAGTGGATGTACGCCATTGTTATGTATTGTCTTTTACCTGAACCTGACATATATACAACATGTATATCAAATATATAGCCAATGCACACATTGCACTGGATTTCTTTGTGCTTATTTTATTGCACACTGCTCTACTCTTGTATACAGCTGATTATTATTTGTTGGTTTTGCAGACATTTTTGGAATTGAGTTGGGTTTTATGTTGGAATTGTTTAATTTATTATTTTGATTTTTTTTAATTTGATCAAAAATTTCCAAAGAAATAATTTTTATTTTATATCAGTCTTCTTTTAACTTTTATTTGTAGTTTTTATTCGAAATAATGTATTGTTTGTTTCCAATTCCTTTCAAAACAAAACAAAGAGAGGGTTTAATTTGATAAATTTAAAGTGTCAAATAAAAATGATAAATGGGGAAGGTAAGGAATGTGGAAATTGACATTATAATTATTGCACCATATGACTTTATTTGCATATCATTTTACCGCTTAGCTTTTATTTTTATGGCAACACATTAGTTAGTAATTTGATTTATAACTAGAATCAGCTGTGTACAATATACACTAACCATGCACACTTCTTGTTTATAACAGATCCATACGATCCCTCGCCGTCAGGTCTGAGTTTTGGTCCGGGTAGACGAGGCAACATCAGTGCTAGGTCACAATTAGAGTCAAACAGTGCATTTATAGGTTTGTCTACATGTGTAGTGTGTTACCTCCCCTTTTTATATCTGAGTGTGTTGTTGCTGTGTTTTGTTACCTCCCTTTGTATGCAGTCTGTTTTCTGTCTGTGTGTCACTCACTGTCTGTTTGTGTGTGTGTGTGTGTGTGTTTGTGACTTCTGTTTAACTAACATGGTGGTGGAGTTAGAAAAATGGGATTACAAGTAGGTTTTAAGTATCTTGATTCATTATTGAATAAGTAGTCACTTTTAAATGAAAGCTATGAAATTTGCTTTTTTTGTGTGACTTATGTTTTAACAAATTCAAAAAATGACTCAAAAATTCTTGTCCAACAAATAAAAAATGCTGCTTAGATTAAATATAACTATTTCCTGCAATGTTTATTATAGACTTGAGAGTTGCATTAGAATTTGACTGTTGTAGTTGTAACAACTGATTGGTTCTGGTTTTGATGACCAACACCACATGTTATAATGATAGAAGTGCCAGGTTTGAGTCTCTGAACATGAGTGGCAATATTGACTTGCCTATGTCAGCAGGAATAGGGCCAAGCTGGCTTGCATGCTATTAAAGTCTGTCTAGATTCTATACTGTTGAATTTTTAATATTAACTCTTAACCTCTTGCTCCTTACCACTGTGGGTTGGAAACCCGACAGGGACTTTGGATTTTTTATGAGGAAGCTATCCAGCTAGCTTACGAAATGGCGGTGATTCTACTCAGGTGTCTGTTTATGCCTGAAATAATGCATGGAAAGCTCTTCCTTCACCAATAAAGCTGAAAAGTCGCCATATTACCTATACTGTGTTGGTGTGACATAAATCCCAACAACAACAACAAAAAAGACTGAATCTGCAGAATTTGAGTTATGGATTTGTACTGCTTTGAATTTTAAGCAGTCCATTCATAAGTATTCAGGATTTCATTTTCAAAATACTAAAATTGAGCTACCAACAGTATTAATCAGACTGCACTGATGCCACTGACTTTCATTTCCAGCAGGTTAAGAATAAGTATTTTGATATTGAAATCCCAGTAATAAACAAATAGGTGGTTATTATTTCAAAATAGAACAAATTATATTTTGTTTAGCAAACAAACTTTTTCACAATTTTTTCCCTGTAATATATGCTGTTACATTTTACAGCACATTATATTTTGCAATTTTATTTTTGTTTTCCCACTTGTCATATTGTAAAAAGTTTTCAGTTTCTTTTAATATAGTAGTTAGTATTATATTTTCTAGTGTAATAGCAATATAGATATTCTAGAGTTATACAACAATTTTATATTGACTTGACAATGTTAAATGATTTCAGTATATTTTGAAAACTCATTGCAGCAGTCTCATAGCCTGTGTTTAAGTACCAGTACATGTATAATTATGTAAAAGCTTTTTTCCTGTAGACTTTTATAATTGTTTATAGAAACTAATGTATATTATGTTTGACCTCTTAAATACATTTATCAAAGACCTGTTTAACTCTTGAAGCAGCGCGCCTCCATATTCATGCTAATTTTCATGAAATTTTTAAGAATGTATTAAAAAGTAACATATTTTAAACAAGAAAAAATAATTTTCACACTGCAAACTGCACTTACAACACATGTATTTTACCCAAAAGAGGTCAAAATATGCAAAAATACCCCTAACTGTGTTAGTAACGCAGAAGAAATATGATGAAAAATTCTGCAACATAGGTCAGTCATAACATGAAAGTTATTACTTTTATCTTTAATCTTTTTACTTATCTTAAAATTTCAGTACTTTTTTCTCAAGTTTGATTTTCTTGAAATATTTTTTTTCATCTGGAGGCATGCAGCTTTAAGCAGATGAACTTGTCCATCTTTCAGTCTGGCAAAACCATTTATTAATTTTAAGGAAATTTTTCAAAATAAGAACTGACTGAATTTAAGCAAACAGAGTAGATCTTGATCTACATTGGTTGTATGAATAAAATCAGTTGCTTCCAGCACTTAGCTAAGTTATTGAAATAAATTAAAATTGTTAAATTTTCTGGTAGTGCTGTCATTTGTATATAAGTTTTTTAAATGCTAACTAAATGGTTTTTAACCAGGTTTTCCGAAGGAAAAAACTGGTTATTAGATTGAGGTATGTCGGCGGGCGGGCGGGCGGATGGGCGGACGGGCGGGCGGGCGGGCGTAAACAATTTCTTCTGTGCGCAACTCCTCCTACATTTCTCAACGGATTTCAACCAAACTTTCACAGAAGCTTTGTCATCAAGTGCCCTGGCGCATATTGTCGGGGTTTTGCGATTAGATAATATTTGACCTAATTATGGCCCTTTGTTTTTTTTCCTTATATAAAATATATAGTGAACAATTTCTTCTGTGCGCAACTCCTCCTACATTTCTCAACGGATTTTGACCAAACTTTCACAGAAGCTTTGTCATCAAGTGCCCTGACACATATTGCCAGGGTTTTGCAATTGGTGTATATTTGACCTAATTATGGCCCTTTGTTTTTTTTCCTTATACAGAATATATAGTGAACAATTTCTTCTGTGCGCAACTCCTCCTACATTTCTCAACGGATTTTGACCAAACTTTCTTAGAAGCTTTGTTATCAAGTGCCCTGACACATATTGCCAGGGTTTTGCAATTGGTATATATTTGACCGAATTATGGCCCTTTGTTTTTTTTCCTTTTATAGAATATATAGTGAACAATTTCTTCTGTGCGCAACTCCTCCTACATTTCTCAACGGATTTTGACCAAACTTTCTTAGAAGCTTTGTTATCAAGTGCCTGGCACATATTGTCGGGGTTTTGTGATTGGATAATATTTGACCGAATTATGGCCCTTTGTATATTTTTTCCTTATACAGAATATATAGTGAACAATTTCTTCTGTGCGCAACTCCTCCTACATTTCTCAACGGATTTTGACCAAACTTTCTCAGAAGCTTTGTTATCAAGTGCCTGGCACATATTGTCGGGGTTTTGTGATTGGATAATATTTGACCAAATTATGGCCCTTTGTATATTTTTTCCTTATACAGAATATATAGTGAACAATTTCTACAGTGCGCAACTTCAAAAATTAAGCAAAAATAAAGTACTGTTTACCTTTCTAAAACATTTGGGGAAAAAAGGCGAATAGACAAAATAAAATTTCTCAATCATTTTTGTTTGAGGAATATTAAAAAAGCCATAATTCCTCCTAAAAATTCAATTAAAAACAAATGCCCCTTCATGACAAAGCTTCTGTGAAATATTTTGCTGAAAACCTGGTTGCATCGCATTGCGATGTTCCTTGTTTTTTACATAAACTAACTAGGTTGTGTTTGTCTTGAACTCATAACGTTTTGAAGCAACTATATTTAATTTGCATGTGGGCCCATTTTATGTACATGTAGTACGCACAAATTTATTTAGTCACTTTAGGCCATTTTGCACAATGTTAATATATGGAATATTGAGATATTTATTGGTATTGATTCATCTGAAATTGTTTTAATATATTAACAGATGTTGAAGGTGTGAATCACTTCCCAGAGGATTTTGATGAAATGGTGGGTGCGAGAAATGACTCAGCACGTGCTAGACGTAGAGCAAAAGAATACAGTCCAAGGGTAAAACTTACTATTTTATTGCGTCTTGATATAACCTTTATGACATTCTGTAAACTAATTTATGTGGCATATTGCTAATGAATGCATTCATTTTACATTTCACTCCAAGTCTTTGAAATAGATGTCTAATAAGGTGCGGTCCTAAAAAAGTAATGGTGTCATTACAAGAGTTTTTGAAGAAGAAAAAAAGATTTATATGTGTCTGTAAAATATTGAGGAATAAAAATATCTACAGTGAATTCTAACTCATTTGAACAGCTCTAGTCCAAAATCATTTCAAAACCCAAACAAATATTTGGTCAAATTATTTTTTACTTTGTTTATAATTTATAAAAAAAATACGTGCCAGATCATAACCCTTTCCACTCCAAACAATAGACAGTATATTAATTTAATATATTATTCTCTGAAACAGAACCCGACTGCTCCTTCCACCTACTTCCTTGGATGGAAAAGTGTTTTGATTAGACAGATCCTACTGTAATTTATTGTTCTATAATTTTTTACCCATCATTGGTGTTCCAAAATTAATATATACAACTTAGTAAGTTATGAAAATTTTGTTTAAGATAAGTAGATATATATAATATTTTACTATGTTTACAGCCTTACAGTGATAACAGATTTGGATCTCAGGCCAGCCTAGATGTAGATGGTATACAGAGAAAGAATGAGGAACGTTTGAGGAGACTCAACAACTTGGCCACTGGTAATTTACAACTTCTTAACATCCACCAAGATATTCACACCTATATTACACTCTGAGTGTAATATACTCTAATTAAACTCTATAATTGAACTCTCACAGTGAGGGGTGTCTGGGGCTGATTTGTTGGCTTCAAACCACTTGCCTCTTACCACTGAAGGTTCGAGCGACGCCAGCATCTTCAGATTCTATATGTGAGAAAGTTAGCTAACTTATGTAACGTCTGTGGTTCTACTCAGATGCCTGCTTGTGACTACAATAATGTAGAGGGGCACCTGAGGTTTTCCTCCACCAGTAAAGCTGGAAAATTGCCATATGACCTATACTGTGTTTGTGCCACAGTAAACCCAACAAAAGAATTTACAGTGCTAATTTTGTTTTTTGTAATTTTGCTAATAATGGAATTGTGTTGCTTTAAATTTGGAAGAGATACATAATATGTGGGATCTATTTGTTTAAAGTATTTATGAATTAGATATCATTTAGAAGCGTGGCAATAATGTTAATGGATGTGTTATTCCCCATGAACATATAATTCTAATGAACATCTAATGAACATTTCATGAACATGTAGCATGAGTGAAAAGTTATTACAGAATATCTTATGCCATAACTTATGACAAACATTTTATTTTTAACAGCCGGGGATGACATATCAACAGCAGATCCAGACGACATTCTAGATAGATTTATGGCTAAACAGACATTTAACAGGTAATATTTCTTCTGATAAAATATTTGATTGTCTAAATCTGAAAGCATATAACTTGAATAATTTCTGTGATTCCATGACCTCCCCTGCATGTAGTCTGTATTCTCATATTCAATAAAATAGATGCATTATCCAATTGTATCATTCCTGTGTAAAAGAAATACTTTATGAATAATTATTACCAGTATTATGGTACATAAGTATATGCTAAGCATATTTATAAAGTATGGTATGGAGTAAAGATCTTATAGTGTACAGTATCTGGGCAAAGTGCTACCAAATCTCATATAATGAACAGGGCTACTGTTGAATGATTGGAGCAAAGTTGTTCAACATCGCCTGTTTTTTCTTTCTTACACATATTTTGCATTAAATTATTGTGACACCTTTCAAAAACTTCATTGTCAATTTGTTTGTAACACTAGCCACTTATACTTTGCCATTATAACCATTTTTGAGTGAAATGGAAAAATATTTTTTCTGGAAGGAAAATTTGTTTCATCTTTTTATTTGTTTTGATTACAAACAATGTTATTTTTAGATGTGTCTTCATTTATACACCTTATCATTCCTTTATAATTCCTATGATGATTATTTTTTGTAACATTTTAGGGGTTATTATCCAAGGTATTTCTTTAAATAATGATAAAAAAATGTTCTGGCTCAACCTGGGATGTTATGATATATAAATGCTAGATGTGTGTTTGTGTGGTGTATATATTTTCATGTATTGCTATCTTTGATCTAGGGATCATATTGTAAATGTGGATAGATTCAAGATTGGTTTCTTTGAAAGACCAAAATATTTCTGTATATAGTATACTAACTTGTACTGAGCAAATTATTTCTGATGTAGTTTTCCTAGAGTGAAACCATTATAATTTACACTAAAAACAAACATTTCACATCAAGTCAATTGCTTAGTTTCTCTCCGTACAGAAATGCTATTGTAAGAATGTAATAAATTTGGTGTTTATAAAGTTTTACAGCTCAGGTCTTTTACATGATCGAGGTCACAAGCTTGAACCCTGAGAAAGACCAATGTTCTAATTAATGATATTGTTTCAAAGAAATGTAATCCTTTATTAATGATTTATCTGATAAAGTTGTCATTTTATTTGAAGTCAAGTTTTGTTTTGGTACAAGTCTGGTTTACTTCTGAACTTTTAATGGCCCTCCTTTTTTCCGCTCAGAAAAAAAGATATGAAATGGGTATAAAAGTTATGTAATAGGAGTCTACCGAAATACAATAGTTATCTTCCCATCGTATTATCTCCCTTGTGCATGCACCTGCTTTGGATAGTTCCGGTTTACATTTTGCTCCTTATATGTATTGTACATATATAAAATCATCATGTAAAATTATTGTTTTCGTCAGTTATATCATGTGTTATTGGGCATATAACTGATGTTAATAAGTGTAATTGATGCTTGTTGGACAAACATGAATTATTGGTCATATATTATTTAAGGATGAAACTGATATTTTAAACATTTATCTCCTGATTTTATCAATGCAGAAGATCTGTGTGCTCCATATGTGTAGATGTTTAACCTGGGTATTTTGGGTAAGCCATAATCCATTTTGGCTAATAGAAAATAGGAAGAACTATCTTAAAATGATATTTAAGGGCGTTTTCGGGAGTTTTCATATAGACATAAAGGCAAAATTAAAACTGTTCAATAGAATTTAAACTTCTTGAAACGAGAATGGTGACCCCATTTTTTTTTCACTTAAAATGTTTCTATTATCTTATTCTAACAACATGCTAAGTTTAAAGAAATTCTATTGAACAGTTTTAATTTTGCCTATATGTCTATATGAAAACTCCCGAAAACTTCTTTAACAAATGGCACTGTTTAATGGTAGACAAGAACATTAATACAAGCTTCAGTCACTAGTAGTGGCTAATATTGTAGCAGAACATGCACAAACTTAAGTGCTTGCAATATATATGCACAAGCTCTCATTTTTTGCATAAAACTTGATTTTTTTTCACACCTCAGGGCTTTCATATTTTCTTATGGAATTAATGTAAGGTGTTTCTGTTATGCTTCCAATGCATTGATAAAACAGGTGCATAAATATTTCAATTGGCTAGAGTTTTAAAACTTTAACTCAACATACATTTGAATAAGAGTCTGATTTTGAAGTATGACCCTTACCCTTTTAATGACCTTGACCCCATAATGACCTTGACCTCCAAGGTAAAAAATATCAAAAATAAATAATTTTTATGATAACTGGTGTTTTATGAACAGTTTTTGGTTGTATTTGTGTTTTATGTGTACACCCCATGGTTTTTGTTGATGTCCTCAAAATTTACATAATGCTAGCATTAAATATGATTTAAACTGATGATTTGTTGTGGTAGAAGAATACAAAACTTCAGAATTGAAATTTAAGATGATATACATTCCAGGTTGAGCACTAGTTTTAGATGAAAATGTATACTCTCTTTAAATGTAGTATGTAGTACTTGTATTTTAGAATGAGAAAAAACTAATTGACCTTTGAATAAGTCATCTCAGCTAGCTTTCTTGCTCTGCAATAATTTATAACAATGATATTACTGACTCAGAAACTGCATTACCTATTGCAATATCAGCATAACTATTTTCTGATAGTAACATTTCATTTTAGTTGTTACCTACCATCTTATCTGTTGTAAATGAGGTAAAGATTTGGTTAATGCTAAGTTATGCTACTCTTGTAGTTTTTTTACCTGGTTAGCTAGATTTAGGTTTGCTGTTGTTGATTTTTATTTCACCTTAATCTGCTGAATTTCGTAAATGGACTAGTCCAACTTCTATTCTTGGAACTGTCCATTATCATCAAATTTGCTGATATCAGGATGAAAATTAAAAAAACAAAATTGGTCAGCAAACAGAATAGAGTCTGATCAGACTGCATGGATGCATTCAGATACATTTTAACAAAATAAACTGTGTATCATTATACATCTACAAATTTTATTAAAGAAAGGAGTTGGTCCATATTTGTTACATTTTGTTGTTATCACTGATCATTTTTGGATATAATTCTTTCATTTCTTCTAGGTGTTCATATTTTATTCTTTTGTTAATTTGGTAGCCCTTGTTTTTAAATAATGATTTGTTGTTTTTCTTAATTGCAGACCACCATCAGGCATGACATTACAAGACGATACCTGGCTTAAACCGGGCAGCAAAGCTGTATAGGAGACCAGCCCTTGATTCACAACATGCCTTATAGTTTGTAGGATAGTCCATTCAGCTCCAGTCCTCACTGACTGATCACATGCTGCATCTTTACAGACTAAAAATGACAATAATATGCCAGTTAAGATTGTTTAAGTCAAGTAAAGATATGTGTGTAACATGATGCCAATTTCTTTATAAATTGAAATTACTTACTGTGTGTGAAAATATGTCTTCAAGATTTCTCAGAGTTCAATTATGATATATGAATAATGGGATGTGTTTTTCTGAAGATATTTTTTCACTGGATTAATAAAAGTCGACTCATTTTCATATTTTCTTTTACATTTTGTTTTCGAAAAAAGAAAATGACTAGGTTTTGTTAGAGACTAAATATATTTTTACTGTTAAAGTAAATGCAACTATATCAGGTAAATTCTTAACAGAACAAAGTACTCGACTGAAAATCATGGCAATATTGATATTTTTTCACACAGCTTGTGACTATTTTAGTGCTACATTGTTTTTTGTGATTGTAAAAACAAAAAGACTGTTTACGTTTTAGAATGTTCTTAACAGAGCACAAAGAGTCCAAAATAAGATGAAGTTTATTTGCAACACTCCTGTATGTGTCACTGCTCAAGTAAGGTGGTGCCTTTTGCTTTATGTTGATTTCATTGGCATTGTAATTAAAAGATTGAAAAAAAAAATTCTGAAATTCTTCATTGTCAGATGAAAAGTGTTAGATTTTCAAGACTTTAAAAATTAGCAGATTACAGGTAGAATTTGCATGAGTTCTCAATGCCTCTCATGGTCCATTCATGTGGTTGACTGTTACTTTTTTGAAAGTATCTTCTCAAATTATTTCTGATTTTAGTGACAATTTACGGAAAGAAAGACCAATATCACACTTTCGTGAGCATAATTGATTGTCTGGGTTTACCAATATTTTGTAGAAGTAACAAAACTTTAATACATATAAATATTTGACACATTTGGGCAAATATTGATTTCTGTGCCAGTTTTTGTTCAATTTTAGGTAGAAATAAATGATTTAAAATATTTCACATATCAAGAAAGGCTATTTGCTCCTGTTTATGTACAGCTTATATTGTGATATTGTGTATATAATTGTTTAATTTATCAAAGATCTGTGATGTTTTATTATGTTCCGTCCATTTTTATGTTTGTTCCAGTTATGTGAAGTAGATCTATGAAAATGTATGTCAAATGGCTAAATTTTATCTTTGTTAAATATATGGTAAATAGGTTATATAGGTCTATTTATGTTATTTATATCAATATGCTGTATTATGTCAAATAGATATATGTTATTTATGTCTAATAGATATGTGTTATTTATGTCAAATAGCATTTTTTCAGTCTTTGCTATTTATCTTATATATTAAATAAATATGTGCTGATTATGTCAAATGTTCAAATAAATTATTGCTATTAATGTCAAATGGCATTTTCCAGTGATATGTTACTTTCAAATACAAATTAAAAATACAGTCTATGCATTGTTTAAAATACATGTATAATTCAAACACAATTTTTAAACACAACATTTGCATATGTAAGTGTTTAATTGCCTTTTTGATTTATTTAAAGATACAGGTTATCTTTTAAACACTAATAAGTATGAGATTCTGGTGAGAGTTGTATTTATGAAATTACATTGATCAATAGATTGTTGAGAATATCACAATTGGCCCTTTTGTCACTAATTTAACCTTGAACATAACATGTTCATTCTATAAGCTCAAGCCTTCATACTTGAACACAAAAATACCGATAGACAATAGCTTTTTGACCTATTGAAATATGACCTTTACCTTAAATGACCTTGACCTTCAATGTTATATTTTCAAATTTAAGTAATTTTTCTATTATTCTATTGCTTATTTAACAGATTTAAGGGCAGTGGCATTAAATTATTTCCTAACATATCTTGTTTAATTTAAAAGCACTATATTTAGGTACTAGAAACAGTTCTTTAGCTTTTTAGTGACAATTAAATTTTCACTTTAATTTTTAGTTTTATATATGTTCACAATGGAATTGTTAGACCGACAATTTAGATTCTTCATTGGTTTTTCTTTTTCATATTCTACATAGTTATATGTTAAGTTCATACATTAATAATCAGTTATCAAATTAACTTATATTAGCTTTATAGTATGGCATGAAATAAAGTGAGACCAACTATGAAGTTTCACTGCAATCCATACTATACTGTGTTGTCAGCTCAGTTTAAATATCATTACATTGATTTCCCCAAAGCTGCTAATGGACTGTGCCAAATATAAAAGCAGGACAAGTTCATTAGACAAATTCAGACTTCAGTACGGTAAGGTTTATATACATGTATTGTATTGATGAAAGGAGAATTAAACTTAGTTACAATGACAACATGCCGGTTCCCAGATGTAATATGCATTCTCCAACATGTTCAGTAAAACCTGATTTGATATGGAGTACAATATAAAAAATAATATTATCGGCAAATATTGTGTTCTCGAAATATTACTTGGTTTTAATATTTCATACATTGTATAAATTTATCAGGACATTTCATCAGATTTTGTATTTTTGTACCAGTTTTCACTCAAATTGCCACCCTTGTTATCATTATTCTTTTCAAAGAGAAATGATTATCTCAGATATATGAACAAGTAAAATGCTTTATATTCTATACTGAATTCCCTTTAAATTAGAAATTGAACATTCCAAATTAAAAGCAGAATGAGTCCATTTATATAAATTTAGCAGGGTAAAGTATACAATATGATAAGATTTCTGTATTTTGTTTAGTTTCCATTGCCATTTTTATGTATTTATTCATTGCCCAAATGTAAATGCTAAGTAAGTGTATATAGATATATTGAAAGATGTAAATAGAGATTATGTAAATGCATTGTTTTGTTATGGATACATGAAATAAGTAAATCATTATCTAAATATTGAATAAATCATACTCAACAACCATGATTTGCTTTTATTATTGTTACTACTCTATAGAGTATATATGGGTGTTATACCTTACAATCTGCTTGTTAACATTGCATTGTTTTGGCATACATACATGTATATATACATGGTGAAAACTGCCAGGATTCTTTCATAAGAGGAAGCTATCCAATTAACTAACGGAAGGTTGTTGGGTTCTGCTCCGATGTTGAGTTGTTGGTGAAACAATAGATGGGAGAACACATTAAGTATAAGGTCGTCCTCCACATTAAAGTTGGAAAGGTTTCATATGACCTGTATGTGTTGATGTTGCTTAAAATTTGTGCTGGAGGAAGACACAGACTCTGCAATATTTTAGGATACTTCAACAGAACCACCATCTTTTCTTGCATGTCAGACAGGATTATCTACCGTTTACACCGGTGCTAGAAAACTCTGTCTTACACCCCCCATGTAAGACAAGTCGCGTGTTTTAAATGACGTCATTGACGCGAGCCTTTTATGAATGAATCGCGTTCTTAGAATGACGTCATTTTTCCGTTATGAATGAAGTTGTAAGTTCATACGCTACTATAAGAAAAAAGTGCGTAATGAGAGCATCAGTTTTCATAATTTCTTTTCCGAAACTAATTGACATGTAATATGCAAGAAAAAGAATCAAACACCGGCTGTTGGTACAGACCGGAATATCTAGCTCTCGGGTAACTGTTTAGCGGAAACTCGGCAGAGCCTCGTTACCGCCGTAAACAGTTACCCTCGAGCTAGATATTCCGGTCTGTACCGGCAGCCGGTGTAAGATTCTTATATTCTTAGCTCGACTTTTTTTTTGTTGAAATTATTGAAATTTTCATTGTTTTGTGTAACTTTGCTATTATTGAAGGGATACCAACAATAACAACATATTTCTATTTATAGAATGCGTGTTTCTATTTATAGAATGTGTGTTTCTGATTATAGAATGCGTGTTTCTATTTATAGAATGCGTGTTTCTATTTATAGAATTGCGTGTTTCTATTTATAGAATTGCGTGTTTCTATTTAGAATTGCGTGTTTCTATTTATAGAATTGCGTGTTTCTATTTATAGAATTGCGTGTTTCTATTTAAAATATATAGACAAAACTAATGTGACAAGACAGACCGATTAATTTTATAAAAAGGAAACGTTAAGATTTTGTTCAAACATTTCTTTGTTTGCTTTTAGAGAAAGTAAAAAGTCGAGCGTTGCCCCTGCCCGGCAGTGGCTCTTGTCTAGCTTTATGTTTCTATATTATTGTATACAATGTAAAAGTTCTTATACAAGATTGACTCATCACAAATCATTTCACTCCTGTGTTCAGATGCATTATGTAGCCAAGTTACATGGGCCTGACAGGATCTACAACTTCTGGCAAATGTCAATTACACTAAAGTTGACTTCTTATTTTGATGGATATCTTAATGTGACAGAAGGCATTTTACACTTCCAATTTATGATAAATAATTCTGACAAAGAGGTTTAACCATTGTTGGTACAAATTCCAGCCTATTCTCTCCACACGTAAATGTTAAATTTTTTAACATTTCATTTTGAATCCTAGGCAGTGAACTTCTGGGAACAATCAACAAGGCTTACACATTGTTTAAAAGGATTGCCATATAAAATAGGCTGGACATTTGAGATTTGAACTTGTACAAAAAACGTCCTTGGACCTTACCCTTGACAATGGAGCTAGTCTTGAACCTGTGCCAACAGATGTCTTTTAGATATAATATTTTCTAAAGATGCTGTAGTAATAGTTTCAGTCTGGGTAATGTGTGAAAAACCTGGTGCATAAAACTGCTTGATTTGAGAAAAATAACAATTGTATAATTCTAGATAATTTATTAAATTTACTAAATATGAAACCATACTCCAGTATTTTAAGCAATATAAATATGCTAACCAATTATATACTTATTAAACAATCAAAAATAGAATTGCACATTTAAGAATGGAAGCACTGAAGACATATGAAACAAGTTATAAATTATTAAGAAAGAAGTTATAAATTAACATTAATGTAACACGTATCTTTTGATAAAGGAAAAAAACAACATCTCCTGCATATATGCTATACATACATGTATATTTAAATAACAGTAAGTAACATTTTCTGGTACCAATTATTAGGTTATGCTGGTCCTTCATCACACCTGACATGATGACTTTTTTTAGCATATGATATGGAGAATTGCTTAGGGTCCCTTTTTGAGTGGTTAATTGTGTCACAATTACAACTGCAGCAATTAAAATAATTAGGGAGCAAATAAGGTATCATTACATAATTACCTCCGCTTATGATGAAAAACAAATCAACATTATTGTGTTGTTTTACAAAAATCATATACAACAGAGTATTCAAGTTTCATTGTGAGTATTGCTATATATTAAACTTTTTTTTATCAGGTGAAATTCTGCAAAGTAGGTTCATTTTTGGCCAAAAAAAAAACCAACAAAAAAACAAACTGGCCCATACATGCCTTAACTCTTAATATTGCATGTCAGTTACAGAAGAAAAAAATATTTTAGTCAGCAACCACTACCACTATTATTTAAGAGCACTTAAGGCCATATTAAGATCATTCACAATAGTGACAATATATTGGAATATGAAAATAAAAAAGAGCCAGCGACTAGCAGGGGCAACACGCTAAAAATTGAAAATGTCTTTCATTTAAGTTTAAGACATGGACAAGAACCAGAATCAAATCTGGGACCTTAATATGTAAGTCAGAGGAATATTCTTTCTTATGTGAAATATTTAAAAAACAAAAAAAACAACAATACAAGTGACAAAAGATTAGGTTATTAAAATAAGCATGTTTTAACAATTCAAACGAAACCCCTAGAAATGCATTCATTCAATATCATTCACCTAATGATCACAACTAGATCTAATAAAATTTGAAAATATATACATTAACAATAATAAAAGAAATAATCATCCTCAGCAATTACAAATATGTTGGGTTGCTAACTGTATGCCATATGGATGATTTTTCTCATAATTCCCATAAACCTTACACAAATACATTGCATAATAATCTCTTTAAAAGACACCTGATCTTTGGTAATTATAAAAATCAGCTTTTAACAGGTGGTAATTTCGGGTAATCAGGAAAATAGTAAAAAAAAAAAAGAAGAAAAAATGAAATGTTTACTACTGATGATTTTATTAATTGGCACTTAAAAGTGGCAGTTTATTTTAATTTTGACAAATTCAATCAATGCCCAATTTTGTTACTACACAAGTCAGCAAACAACAGATGATCCACAATGCAGCCTTGACACATCTAAAGTGACCTTGACCTTAATAACCTTTAACCCCTTCAAGTACATGTCTTTACAATCTACATATATACCAAATTTTTTTAGATATTGGAATTCCAATTGAAAACCAGTAATGTGAATGAAGGAAAAACCAGCAACAATCTTTTACTACATGTAATAAGGTTTTATTCGAGGAGCATAAAAATACAATATTTATCATAGCAAAAGGTCTTTAACAACAGGAAAAAAATTGCAAATGTTTGAGTCAAGCAAAATATTTGTAGCTCAACTGTCAACAAAATTCTTTTAATGCCTTGAAACAACCTTTCTTATCATAATCGTCAAAGTTTTAATATCACAGACAAACTTTGCCTTGCCGCTTTTCTATATCTAATTACAACCCACAACAGTTCACGATAAATAAAAGTTCTACACGGGAATGTTTAAAAGCGTTCATCACAATCCAATCCATGCCATTGAGTAGAAAATTCCTATAAGTATCATTGCAACTGCCAGAAGAACAAATATTGCATTGACTGAGCCTGCAAAATAAAGAACAAAATTAAAAAATTTATGTCACAGGGTATCTTATAAAGGAACTTCACAAAAGTTCAAAAGACTAGAACGAAAAATTTGAATTTCTTGCATAGATCAACTGGGGCACTTAAAATTGCAAAGCATGTAATGAAAATACATACTGGGATATGAAAATCTTTTTTTGTGCTATTCTTAGACTGACCTTACCCCATAGTTAAAAGTAGCAAAAAAATTTAAATAAGCAATATTAACCACTCTGTCATAGATCAGGTAAGGTTTAACTTAATATATACCTCTGGTTGGTTCCTGGTGGACTCTCACAGTATTATCAGCAGATATACTAAGTAAGGTGAAGTCCTGGTTCCCTGATACAGCTCTAGCACCTTCAGAGACTGGCATAAAATCTAAACCTGTCACAAATATACTGTGTGCCTCTTTAATGTAATATAGTTTCTGAAATGAGAAAATTTTATTAGGTTAATTTATGTAATCTTATGTAATGAACTTTTTTTCATAGTAAATTTTACAGAGCTAAATAATGAAATGATAGTATTAAACAACAAGTAGTAGTGTGTAGTCAGACAATAATTATAAAGGTCAGTAAAAGGTCAAATGTGACCTTGATGTTTGACTTACTAACCCAAAAAAAACAAAAGGGTTTATCTATTGGTCATGACAATCCAACATACATGTATTGTACCAAGTTTGAAGTTTTGAGGGACATGCATTCTTCAAAGCTTTTGATAGGAAATGGTTTAGTTGATGGATGGACCGACTTGTGAAAGGGGCATAATAATAAAGAATATTGTATATTTTGATTTTCACATCACACTTCTAATTTATCAACATTTTTTTTATTTTGTTTTAAGGAACTTCTGAGGTGACATTATGAAGTGTTCATATGGTGACTTTCCAGACTTGGAAGAGACATTTATTGCATAAGAAAGACTACAAATATACTGCATAATGTGCTAATTTATGTTATACCTGTATCTATTGCATAGGAAGGATTACAAATGTAACATTTATTGCATACTATAACACATGTTAAGTCATATCTGGGTGATCAGTTCACTTACATGTAACTAGCTTTTCATGTATAACAAACGACTAACATACCTGTAGGTTGAAGGAGGTATACACAGCTACACTTCCTGTTATCATTCCAACACCAACATATACTCCATCATCACTGTAAATAATTCAAAATTAAAAACTTATATATTTTAACTAAAACTTTATAAAATTGCTTTGTTATAAAAACCAACGGCTATAATTCTTGTTGAATAAGAAAATGCCTGTTACACTAGCATCGTAGCTATGAAAATATGTTTTCTGATGCTTACACCTTACATCATTATGAAAAACAGTTTTATGTCAAAAATATTATAAAACATGATGTTTCTTAAGGTTGGCAATGGAATAAATCATTTCAACCCTGTAACTTTCACAAGAGATCAACCTTTAGTTTAGTTTAAACATATTTATTTAAGCTGGATTACGAAACAAGTTATTGCAACATTTATATATATTTATCACTTTTACGTCCATTTCCAGAAACCAAACGGTACTAGTGTCATATGAATTACATGGTCGTAATCCAAGTAGCGCTGGAACCTATGATCCCAGAGAGGCAGACACCTTAACCACTACGTCACCACTACCCTTAATCTATAAAGGTTATAAAGAAGGTTTTCCTATCGTACTTTTCATGAAAGTCATGAAGTATTTTTCTATGCATTATTTCAAGCACATTTTGGCACCTGCTTCTAACCACTGACCTTTACATAAGCTACCTTGTTAGCGTCTTAGAAGGTTGAAATTCAAAACTAGGATGACAACTTGTTTATATATGTACATGTATACAAGTATGTATTTTGGGCCACCTCCAAACTTACATCTTTGTTGTATGTGATAAAAACCAAAAATAACCACCACAAATTCTAAACAGAACATCAGTATGACCACAGGCCATTCTCTAACATTGCGAAGTCTAATAACAATCAATGGACAGTTCCATACTCAAAACAGGACAAGTCCATTTAGTAGTTTGAGAGTGAAAAATAGCATTTACCTTACTGCTAGAGAGGACAGTACCTCTGTACCAGCATTCATCACAAGTCTTGGTTTAAAACTTTCCCCATCCCATAGTGCTATAAAACAAGGATCTGGTTTAGTCTGTCGCTTTATAGGGATGTTTATAGTGTACAAATTAAAACCCTTTTTTAAGTTCCCTTCTTTCAAACCAAATCTGCAACAAAAAAAATTTGAAAACATAACTGACATAATTAAAGAGACTTAAGAGAACTTATAGTAATGCTAGACCTGTTCATAATGTCAAAAATCATAAAATCAAAACATAAAGTTGCAGAAGCCAGACAAAGTTTGTTGTAGTTTTTAACTATGAATAATAAGTTTAGTTTGTTAAGAAAAGTATACATGTACATTAATTTTTGAAATCATCTTTTATTCAAGAAGTTCAAAACATATTTATTAAAACTGGTGTCTTAAGATTTTGCATCAATGTTTATTTGCTGTAATTGTATATAATCTGTGCTGAGACTTTCTGGTTAGATACGCTTACAAACATATATACAGTGTCATATAACCTGTTAATATGATAACATGTATCTTACCTACAAGCTCTAAATCTATGCTCTCCTGCTTTTCCAGGCCACTCCATATCTAGGTGTTTTTTGCCATCTTTGGTGTTCCATACACAAAAAAAATTTCCTCTAGCTATTGTAACAATCTGAAAGTAATTTTTTACAAATAGAATAATTATCCTGGAAATCAAAGTAAGCAAATGATCGGAAATTTTTGCATACAAGTTATCATTGGTCTAGATCTACATCAAATGAAAGCTAATCTCAAAAAATTATTTCAAGTCCCATCATGTTAAAAAAAAGTTCAGTAGGATCCCTTTCAGTGTGTCAATGGTGAGTGATTGCTTTACTACAATATTAGAGAACTTCCCTACATTTATCCTGACAAACAGTTTTCATTTCAAGGCAGAATCACTGACCTGCTTTAAATTATCTATTAAGGCATACTTATCTCCCTTGATTTTACAAATAATTATTTTCACTTCTAGACACTGAATTGTAGTAATGTACCTTTTTAACTTCTGGAACTGGGATTTTGTTTGCAGACACTGTTAAAAAATGAGATAACACAGCAGAGATGGCTTATATGTAAGCACTGCAACAACTTATTTTCCATAACGATCAACAAGGGAGGCAATCTGACTTAGAGATTTTAAACAAGATATTGAAAAAAATGAGTTATAAATTGAAAACACTGGCTAGGAATCTACAAATCTGGACCTGTTATCCCAGAAGTGTACATTCTACTAACGTGCTATAAAAGCTACCTCTTGATCAGCAACAGTGCACCCATATATTCTGCCCTACATGTACTACCCTAATTAATGCTAACTTGGCAAGCCTTGTTACCACAAAATGGGCAGGTCCCCTCCAGAAGGATATTCTGATATAAACCGCAGCACATGACAGATATTATTAGTTATAGTCAGACTATATGTCAACTTGACCAGATTCTATTCCGCTGTGTGACCAGACCAACCAACTTCCAAATTACATGTATCATCTGCACATCCATTAAATTAACATTAAAATGGACCGTTTTCAAAATGGTTGTTGGACAATTTAAGGCTGGCAGACAGTGAAAGGTTTTACTTACTTTATCACCTTTAGGACTAATATCAAGATCATCTATCTCAGATTTGTGAGCTGCTATGTCATGTAACTTTGTCATTCCATCTGTCTGCAAGTAATAGAAAAACTCGAGTTACTTTTTAAAACGATATTATTCGGAATTTATTCCCATAAGAAAATAGACTAGTCCTATTTAAAAGTTTGTCATATCATATAGAAAATATATCATACATTAACTTTTTTCATGCTAAAACCATGCAATATTTTAGTATAAGCCAATTTCTACCATATTACTTTGCACAAGGCAAAAAAGAGATGAAAATTAGACAAATTTAGTGGAAAAACTAATTAACTTATTTCAATGACAACAATTGAAACACAAAAAAAGTAGAAAACATTTCTCTGAAATAAAACCCTTTAAGGATGAAAGATGGTAAATAATTAGTATGCATTGTATCTTCAAGAACAATAACTATATGTCTATATATCTTTAATTAAGAAAAACTGGATTACCTTTAAAACTGGTTTTGAAGTAAATTTATAGATTATTTAAAATTTTATAACTAAATTGCATGAATTTTTTTAATGTTCAATCACACGGTTTCACTTTACGACAAAATACCCAATTAAATAATGTGTTTGTTGTTGCAAAGAAGAAAACAGTAATTTGAATAACCTTCCAAACTCTGAGATGTCCGTCTGCTCCACCTGTTGCTATGATACTGTGATCTGGGCCAATCTGAACACATTTCTGAAAACTTCCATCACTGCAAAAGTCTGTACGAACACTTTTAATTTTTTCTACTTCAAAAGTCACATGTTTTGTTTCATTAGAATGGTTATTGGTATTACTTGATGGTTCATCCTTATCTTTGGATTCCTTTCCTTTACGCTTCACAGCTTCTGTTGACCCTGATTTTCCATCCTTTGCTTCTGCGTAAAAAAATCATGAAACTTATTAACTTAATTTACACAAAACCATGTAAATATACTGTATAAAATATGCTTATTTAAGTGAACAAAAATTAGCTTTAATGAAATCATACAAACATGTTTGAGTCTGTCTTTGCAAAAATGTAGTTGGCATTTTGCAGATAAGAATCAAAGCTAAACATAAACGGATTGTCTGAGATAATTGTCAACTAAACAATAAAAGAAAATTGCAGTTTTGTTAAGTCTTATTATAAGTGGCATGCACTTGTAAACAGAACATACAAATTTTATGTAGTTCATACCAACAATACATGTATAGTACCAACAACACAATGATGCTTTGAGATATTTACTGGTACTAACTTCTTCACTAAGATACACTTACCCAGCACTTCAATAAGACCATCACAAGTACATGTAAAACTATGTCTTACCTAACCAATGACTCTGTCTAATATTCAATTTTAATAGCAACATGTGAGTTTGATGGTCAAAAAGAAACATCGAATGTTGCAACTACATACCTGATTTCTGAGGGGAAATCACTCTGTACTTTAGTGAGAATAAGTGACACTCGTCATCAAGGCCTCCTGCGAACATATGATGTCTTCCATCATACAGTGTTGCACCATTCATCGGGGCTTGAAGGCCAAGGTCATGTCTGCATACACTACTTGCATGTATACCATCCTCACGTTGTTTAATCTCATATATCTCCTAATATAAAAGAAATACATACATGTGTAATGCTAACCCTGCTGAATTCATGTAATGGAATGACGCTTCTTTGAATCTGGTAGTGTCCATTCAAAATTTGAAGGATTTTAATATCAAAATACTGAAATGGAGCTACCAAGATGTCAAAGAATATAGGGCCTTGTCTAGCTGCAAAACTGCTTTCACTTCCCGCAGGTTAAGCATTTCATTGGTTATAACAACAAAATGCTTCAGCCTTGAAAGTTGAATTGCAAAAAACTGACAATATGCACAAGAACACTTGATGATAAAACTTCGGGGAACTTTGAAACATATATTGATCATATCGGAAAAAGCAAGCTAATATTAAGTGTTGCGAACACCTATACAGTCGAACTTCGTTCGCTCGAACTCGGAGGGCCTGTGCAAATTTGTTCGAGCGATCGGTAGTTCGAGCGAACCGAGGTTGAACAATAATTACATAGAACATAGGCTTAAGGTTTTCCAGCTTATATCGGTCAAATGATAAATAAGTCAATAAAACTGTTTTTTAGTACATCTGTTTGTCGAATACGTCATATTAAGAAATATTATCCTATTGAATAACGGTGCACGGTGTTAATCTATATTCATGCATATTGTAATTGGTTGAGTTCGATCGGGCGAGCATTATCTAAACTGTGAACAGTGTTCAAGTTTATTATGGGATGAATTTTATTTTAAACAATGAATCGATAAAATATTAAAAAACAACATTTTACAGCAGCATCTATTTGTAGTCATTTACTAAAATAAACACACGTACAAGTATCATTCTATAAATAGATTACACTGTTACAATTCACGTTACATGAACCACGGTTGTAATTAAAGCCGTCCGGGTAAACGTCATTTACTTATTTATTTACTTTGGGCATTTCAGGAGTTACTTTCTTTTTATCGTTACTAAAGACTGCAAATAAACAATTGTATCATAACAAACAAATCGGTAAAACACCTTTTATTTTGTATCAATTAACCATAATTGCCTTTGTCACGATCACGAGGTGTTAAAAACATGTGTCGCCGACTGTCAATTATTTAGAACATGTCGACCCGCAACTTTTGTTGTCTGTTTGAGTTCGACCGAAAAGGTGTGATTTACACTATATTTCTGCCGAAGGGACCGGAGATCAGGTTCGAGAGTTCGAGCGATGGGTGTTCGAGCGATCCGAGGTAGAACAGTATATATTATATAGGAATTTTGCCGGGACTGGGCGATGAGTTCAAGCGAAGGGAGGTATTCGAGCGATCCGAGTTCGAGCGAACGAAGTTTAACTGTATCTTGATAATGTCACAAGGTGAATTGGATTTTAAGAATTAGTTTATAAAAATTTATTTTAGTTTGATTGTGTTGAAAGCTATAAGCTTATTGAAACACTCTCTAATCTGTTCCTGGATGCTAACAGTACTAAGCAATGAATGTAAAGTTTCTTGCTCAAGGAAACAACAGCTTGCCCCTGACAGGGTTTAAACCCACATGGTCAGCAGTCCTTAGATTACTAGTCTGACATGTTAACCACTCGGCCAGGACGCCACTCTTAGAATTAATGAGTAAGCTTCCAGCTGAGAAAGACAGTCATGGTTGACATGTGCAGTTGCCCTGTTCTTTAAATGGTTGTTTTAAGAAGTACTTGAAAATATTTAAACTTTAAACTATTGATTTTATCTTAAAAATGAACAAATTGTATTATATGTATGTTTGATATTTGTTGCATGTGTGCAATATTTCCAAATAAGAATCACAAATGGAAGAGAAAAAAACATACAAACTTGGGCAGATCAAGAAACAGGGACTATCTATCTATCTTCCATTAATGTCAAACCCCTTACGGGGATGTAGACATGACTATAGTCTATAATCTATATAGACTAGTCACTTCAGAGAAAGCTATGAGATACATGGGAATCCGGGAACCAGTCCCTACATTGTAGCTCTTATTGAAAAGACCCCTTGGTTCTTTTACATGCCCAGTGTATAGCACTGATACTAGCCTAGGATTCAGGCATTGATAGTTTTTGCATATATTCATAACATACGCTTATTTCATGCTTGATCGTCATAGATAACACAACATCTCTGGTTTTGATAGTATCAACGCCTGGGGAAACCTGTGGGGTTTTCCATTTAATTATCGACTAATGATAATCCTATTAATAGACCGATTAGCACGTGACCAACAAATTACATGACTAAATCGAAATTGAGACAAAGATGATGAAATTTGACGCCATTTACTATTATAAATTGCATCCAGCACAATTCTCTGATGCTCACAAACTTTATCCAATTTAACTAATAAACCTGTTGATCCAATTCACTCATCATGCAATAAACTTTGTCAACTAGTTATAGTTTTTAATTGGAAATGGTGTTTTTAAAGCGAGACTCCATAAATGTTTGTTGAGCTTCCGGTCACTTCATGAAAATTCTGTTTCTATTTTCAGAAACTAGTTTGTCCTGCATGAGATATCATTCTTTAAATAACACCCGTAATTTTAGGGGTGAATACTAGGTGGCGCTTCAATCGAAAATCGTATTTCCCCAGGCTGTCGATTTGCCATACAGAAGCACATAAAAAATCAACAGACTGGAACCCAGGCTACACTGATACATACATACATGCAAGGATAACCTGAATTTCTTACCAGTACACCTCTAGTTAGGTGGGAAACACTGAAAGTGTCTCTGTAAAATCCCAAAGGTGTTACCCAGGATTGAACACGGGACCTCAGGAGGTGGTCAAACCAACAGAGCTATCGCGCCACCTATGACTCAATTAACAGGTCTAGGATTTCATAATATTTATGGACTGTCCGTAAATTTATAGACAGTCTCGAAATTTAAAGATTTTTCAATCCATAAATTTACAGATATTCAATGTGAAATTTGCTGTTTTTAGTTTTACAATAAAATCCGCAGCTTAAGACAAGTTGTTTTATTGCTTGTTTATATTTACAAAGGTAATGGGGTGGGTTTCATCTTTGTATGATGATTTTGAAATTTTTGTTAAAAGTGAAAATTGAAAGTCATCAAACTGTTCTGAATCTTAGCATACTATTACATTTAATCATATAATACCTAACCTTATTCATTTTAACCTGCGGTTTTAAATTTTAATGCAACTTCTACTATTTTCTTACTTAATGTCTGTAAATTTACAGACAAGAAAATCTGTAAAATTATGGATTGTCCAAAAATTTACAGACAGTCCGTAAAAACCATGAAATCCTAGACCTGATTAATCCTTAAGTGTCTTTGATCTTAGATACTATAAAAATGATAATTTTATTGATATCAATATCTCTGCAGTGACTTTTACTGGTTTTTTTACTTGCAAAAATTATAGAGGTGAATAGTTATGAGTACGAATTTTGTGTTTGTCGACATCTGGAGAGAGATTAGTCTACTGTTCACAAACAGAATGACTTACAATAGCATTTGAGACGCCAGTTTTTGCTTGTCCTCCACCACCAGCTACTAAGAAATGTCTTTCGCCTAAGGATTTGACTATGTACATAGGAAAATCCGATTTGACAATCAACTTCCCTTTCTCAGGCGCCATGTTGGCAGTGGAATGACCTAAATAGATATTAAATGACGGAAAGTTTTTTTACTACGACAAAGTAATTTCATGTGTCAGTTTACAGATTTTTTTTGTAAAGAGCTAGATCTACAAACAATTCCAAACAAAAACAAAGGTCACCAGCATACTTTGTAATATAAATCCGTGCTTTAACATACAATACTTTGAAGGAAATTCTAGCTGTACACATGTAAGATCAATCTTATTGATATGAATGTACTAGGGCTGAGGAGTCTGTTTAATCTGTGCTGGAGAAATACAGAATCCCTACAGAAAGCCCAACACGACAAAATTGAAAATGTTGCAGGCTCTGGTGACTCCAGGTCCATTTCTGTGGGTTTTTCTTTCATACACGAACAAGGATCTTGATTAGAACAACCGACGTTTCTTACATGCAACAGGGTCAGTCTGTTTGAAAGACCCTGGTATACTTTACAATCAAATCAAGTTTATATTACAGGTACATTAATTCACTTTCAAGTTTCATTATCCCCATATTCTTTTCCATGCAATGTACATTCAAAGAGCATATGTTTTTTTCATTGATGTAATATATATATTACATTTTCTGTATATTAACTTTAAATTGCAGATCTATATTTTGCAGGTATTTTATCCATTGTAACAAAGTGTGCTTACAAGAACCACAATTTTTCACTGTTATACATGACTCCATATCGCTAAATTGAATTTTCGCCAACGAAATGGACGTTTGTTTTACAAACTTCGTTATACAACTTAATGTATATAGTTTTCATACACTGACATCTATAGGACCAAAAGTTACTTTTTTTGTCCACGCCGATTAAAATATGGGATAAACATTTTCCTTTATTATATCCATATATATAAACAATACCGGTAATCAAGTCTTGTCAGACTACAAAATGGAGTTTTCGCCTACGAAATGCACATTTGTATTTGAATATTTACGTTTATTTAATTTTACCCATGAAATATGGTGCTTTATTACATGCTTTTCGGTGGTTTATAGAAATATATCAGTGCTATAAAACTGGTAATTTCACTGTTTGAAACAGTGAAATTACCACTTTGATAATTTCACTGTTTTGAATTTAAGCCCCTTACGTTGTTTCAGTGAAATACCAGCGTACACAGTACTGGGTACCAACTTAATGACGTGACGTCGTAAATGACGTCACTTTGTATTATTATTTGGCGCGCTTTTCATTCAGTATTAGGTTTAATGTCTTTTTAAAACGTTTCTTTGCATATAATAAAAAGAAAATTTGTTTAGTTTAGTGTAAGATCGAAATATATTTCACCTTGTGAACACCAAAAGTTCATATTTCATTCGTGGCTGCGCCACTCGTGAAATATTCCTTTTGGTGCTCACTCGGTGAAATATATTCCGATCTTACACTAAACTAAACAAATATCCTCTATATATCAGTCAAATATATTTCATATTTTTTAAAAGTAAATATGAAATATAAATATGAAAGTGGGCGGAGTCAAAACTCATATTTATTTTAAAGGACTTCTTTCGCCATTTTATTTGAAAAATCTGATAAATACAAAACAACTTTTGTTGAATTTTGTTTTGAAAACTATCTAGAATGATAGGAAATGGTCTAACTAAGAAAATAAATCCGAACACCAATATCTTTAATTCAGTTATTAACGCTGTACAGACGTTTAAAGAGTTGTTTACGTGACGTCACAATGTAGCGTCAAATATCGCGTGCAAAACAAGACGCAATAATATATTACTGCGCGCTGTACAATTGCAGTTGCGTAGCATGCAGTTGAGTCTGTCATCATTTTTCTCAGATAATGAAATTAAATAAAAAGGTTATTTTTTCGTTTTTTCGTGAAATATGGTATATATTTTCACTCAACATGATAAAATGCCACATATTTTCACTCGCCGTCCCGGCTCGTGAAAATATGTGGCATTTTATCATGTTTCGTGAAAATATATTCCATATTTCACTCAAACGAAAAATATCCTCTTATTATTGGAAAATGAATTATTTCACATAAAATCAGGTATGAAATATGCAATTCAAATACAAATTTAACAATTCTGTTTAACATTGACGTATCGTTTATCCAATAATTCAATAACTAGAAAAAGGACTGCGAGATTGGGTTCGTGCCTACGAAAGACATTTTTGTCCAAATTATGGACAGCAATACAGTAAATTTATAATATAGATTTCTTATAATAACGTGCAATAGTTATATTTAATGGTGATCTATAAAATAACGAGAAATATTTTATGCGTATGGTAAATTTTCGCGAGGTATATATACATGTAATATGTAAAAGTTACTTGAACCCGTTCCTGGGCAATATGGACTGTAAGCATGCGAAATGTTTGTGTTTTTTTTATTTTGTTTGTTATCTTCAACAATTAGATAGAAATATGAATGAACGGATGCATATTTTATCTGATCTCCTTAAATTTGATATTAAATTTTGTGTATTAATAATAATCAAACAATGACATTTTTTATCAATATTCAACAAGAAATGCGATAGCTATATTAGAAATTCATTAGAAAATCCAACCTCAAAACTGAAATTGGCCGATTTGTTGGTATATAAGAATTAAAACAGAAGTAATTTGCTCCTCAAATTGTCAAATTTTACCATACGCCTTATTTCATGGACATAATTACTGCTGTATGAAAATGTTTGTGAATATTTCTAAAATCTTAAATCAACCTCATGTTCAGGCTTAAATAATAGTTCTCCCAGTGAAGCTTAAATAAGTACTAGGGGGTTTCATTCAACACTACAACTTACTCTCCATCAAACAAAACCTGCGACATTTTCAGTCTTGTCGTTAAAGGCGTTCTTTAAGGTTGTCATTTTAATGTTAGTTCACTGAATGTGGGTTTGATTTTCATGTATATCTGGATTATTGATTCTATTATTTGTCCGTCTGGTCAACTCAATGGAGAAAGTATTTGTAATTTAGGATTTGCTGGTTCCATCCTTTGACGGGGCAAAATTTCTCCTTGACAATTGATATCGGACATTGCGTTTAATGGCCGTTTGTTTCTCATCACTGATTAAATCATGTGGAATTATAGTAGTCGATTGTTTTCGAAATTGGTAATTTTCCAGGAAAGCCTGTTAGGTGAATAGATTACCGAGATACCACCAAAAAGGTGAAAAATTCAGCGTAAAAATCAGGCAAACGATTCCAACACTTAATTGTGTTGGGGATTGAATACCGTATAGGCCGGTGCTGGCGTGCCTGATACATGATCCACTATAATTACCACTACTACAACTCATCTGTTAAGTGCATATTTTTTTTCTTTACTAACGATTTCCGTAGAACTCTTCTGAGTATTTGCACAGACAGACAGATAGATATACAGACAGACAGACATGTATACAAATACGACAACATACAGACGTTAAAACGGAAAACTGCGCTATCGGGCAGACATCTGTGCGTCCAAGTGTATTATGTTTGCAGATAAACAAGTGTGCACACAGAAAAACTTGTGTACGGACATATGTACAAGGATACTAGTACATACAGTGTAACTTCCGAATTCCGGAACTTCTGAAATCCGGAAACTTCTAAAAACCGAACAATTTTTTCGGTCCCGATTTTTTCCTCTCTATTTTCTATTAATATAATACTTCTGAATTCCGGAACTTCTAAATTCTGAATTCCGGACGATATTTTCGTAAAATTAAAGTCAAATCAATGCAACTTTACCTCCAAAAACCGGAAATATCCAAAGGTGTGAAATATATTGTAAATCGAGAATGTTTACCCTGCAGGAAGATTTAATCTCCCTATCGATTGTTTACTAATTAGCGGTGATCGTGTAATTTGACACGCGTTAAAATCACAAACTGTGAAATGTGATGCGGTTAATCAAAGTAATTTACGGCGGTCAGTTAATTTGAAGTGTTTATTAGCAGATTAAATGACAATTAATTGGGACAATGTATGCATCAAACGTCTTTAGGGATTTTATTGCATTTGAAGTAATAATTAATTAACTAGCATCGGACAATATGTAAGTTTATGCAATTAACAACATTTCGACAAACTGATAGAAATTCAAAAGCATTTGCAGGTAAAATAAAAATGTATTCTTTTCATTCACATCTTAATCCTGATTAAAAGACTATTATATATGATATTACAGTAATGGCCACATCTTCCTTGACATTTAGTGATATTAAGTGGCTTAGTCTTGTCCACATTATCATAAACCTCTGAAATCCGGAAACCTCTGAAATCCGAACTTTTTGACAAGTCCCATGGGTGTTCGGTTTTCGGAAGTTACACTGTATGTGCTATGCTTACAGACCGACACGTGTGCGGATATATGTACAGGTGAACAGGTATATAACCAGCTTATAATCAGACACACATGCAGGTGTATGGAGCAGACAGACTAGTGAGCAGACGAACACTGTTTACCACATCTACAGAAAGGTAACTCATACATTACTAAAATGATATAATTATATGAATTATCTCCAATGTTCCATTTTCTTTATTGCAAGAATTACCATATAAAACATGAACTAACAAATGAATTTATTGACCACTTGAAAACAGAGGTAATAAATTTATTGGTATACAAACTGTTAATTTTATACATATTTTAAGAAATACATTTCAGAAAAAGAAAATCATGAGTTTGTAAGAAAGACAAATAGTAGCAAAATTTCTGTAAAATGTGTATAAATTAAATATCACAGTGGTGAGTATTAACTTGCATACAAACATCTGTCAAATACATATGCAAGTTCTATATAGTTTCTACACAAAAATCATATCACATTCATATAATTGTACTAACAAAAACATTTTATGTCCTTTATAATTTGTCCCTGATGATATGAATTCCCTGAAAGTGACTAACAAACATCTTAAAGATTTTCAACATTTTGTATTTTATCCTAAACATTGGTCATTATCAGTTATTGGTCGATAACTATTTCAAATGACAGTACATGTATTTTGAAATATATAGCTAATTAATAACTTGGCAGAGAGAAAAAAATATGATAATGTAATTTGAATGCCAACACAATTATGAGATGTTTCTCAAGATAATTGTCTCTTCCTTAACCTTTGTGTAATGGATTTGCCAAGGTCTGACTTTGGAACAGTCTATTTAAAGTTTAAGGGATTATAATATCAAAATACAAAAAAAATATATAGTATCCAACAGTATAGAGCCTGATCCAACTCCAAAGATGTGTAGACTGGCCTGACTCAATACTGGTGGCACAGGCTTATCAGTTCAGCTAAACATAATACATTGCATAAAAAAAGATAAGAGTGTAAATATACAGCAAATCAGGTTTAAATCATATACATATACATTAAAACACCAAAATGGTGATATAGTAATTAGCAAAATAACACTGCTAAAACTAAACTTATTTCTTAAAGGAACTCCACTGAGGTTTATAAGCCTAAAAACATAAAAAATTTATTTTTCACATAGATTAGCATGAGCACTTAAAACAGAAATATAAATAAATTATAATTAAGAAATACATTGAAAATCATATGTTTGTGGTATTCTCAGTTCGATTTGACTAAAAAGCGTTTAAACGCTTTTCAATTTTGGGTCATTTTTCAATATTATAATAATTATTCTGGAAAAACAGACCGAGCTAATGATCCGAAATTTTGTACATAGGTTATTAGTATAGGTCTACATCAGATGGAGTAATAATCCCAAAAAATTATTTCCAGTCCCGTCATGTCAAAAAACCTCAGTGGAGTCCCTTTAATTAAGTTAATCCTAACACATCAGGATAAAGGGTTTAAGTCACAAGTTCTCAAAACATTAAATACTGTTTTCCCCTGAAGTAAAATTCCAACAATTTATTTTTCAAACAGTTTTCGAGTGACTTATTCAAACAGGGTCACGTTCAGTGTCATATTTCTTCATCCTTTCTTGTCTCGCAGCCTCCCATGTTTTAAGATCTTCCTCGGTATACAGGTGTCTCATCACTTCTCGCATGAACACATCACAATCTCCAAACACTCGGCATCTGTTATCTGCACCATTTGCCCCCTTCTTCTGATGAGGACTGTCTAGTGCAGTCTCTTGTCTGTAAAATCACAGAGCATAAAAAAGATGAAAAACTTTTTTAAAACTGACAACAATTAAGTGACATGTCTTTGCTAATAGAATTAGAAGTTCAAATATTCTCTATAAGCCCGAGCAGTATGTGGTATCGCTGGCTCCAGCATATGTCAGTTCCAGCTACTTTTGCTACACCAGACCAAAAAACAAATGCCATAAATTATATTATTTTTTTTATATTTTGATGCTTTGTTTGGTGCACCTATCTCTTTTATCATGAATTGGAATTGTTCGTATTTGTTCGTTTTTCCGCTAAAGTGGGCGTGACGTTAATTGTAAAATTACGACGTCACGTCCGTTGATATTATTATTATTTATTTACCTTGAAAAAGGCATACATTTGCCGAAACGTTGGAAAAATAAAAAATGATATTATACGTGTTATTGCTGTGACTTTATTATTTTAATAAATTATCTTGGAATGCAGTACTGCAGGCTCCTCTCAAATTTACACTAGCTAATGGTATTTTAAAACTCATGTGTGACACATCAAAACCTGTTTGCACAAGTGTGGTGTCAAAACCTGGCTCTTTACTGCCATGACTGTTGGCTGCTCAACATTAAAATTTACATGATCTAAATATCTTTACAATCAACTATAAAAGAATCCAAAATTCAATAGCCCTTGCACTGCATCAGAAATAAAAAGAGATAAACATAATGGTCAATCCAGATTATGTCATCACCTTTCTTTCAATTTCCAATATTATGAAGATCCCCTTGCCAGATTAATAGGATAAAACAATACTGCTAAAACCTGCAATATCTGGATTAACACAGGCAAACAACCTAATCATTTGGCTATTTCCATACAGTAGTGTTATAGCCATCATTCTATCAAATAGATTATACAAAATCTAACAAGATAAAACAATTAGTTCAATTAAAGATTTTGGGCCTTTTAAAAACTATGTAAATTTTGTTATAATACGTAAGTAAATACATGTACCTGTTACAAATGATGAGTCTTCGCCTGTCTTTTCTCTTTCCAACCAAGTTTGCCGCGGGTGTGACCTGTAGAGTGGTACCAAGGCACAACATGAGGTCACTACGCCTTGAATGTGTTCGTGCCCGCTCCAGTATCTCTCCCTCAAGGTTGTCACGGAAATTGATGATTGTGTCATTCAAATTTCCCTTGCATTTCTATGATGAAAAATAAACTGACTTGATTTTCTTTGTTTTGTTACATTAAACAAAATATGTTGTCTTTTCACTTACATTAATATTTATCTGATCTAAAAATCATTTATTTAGCACATTATATATCAATAAAGAAACAAACATTGTAATATTGTATGCATGAAGATTGCCTTCAAATTGATATAAATTATAGTGGGAGAGTAGACTGACCTTTAACCTTAAATGTATTGACAAAAAACATGCTGTACACAGGAAGTAATTTGTAGTATTAAACAAACCTCAAGCTATGAAGATTGCCTTGAGTCCTAAATGCTAAACCTACTGGAACCGAAAGTGATAAGGTTTGCCGGAAGTACAGAACCAGTCCAGCCTGCATATCCATGCAGTCTGACCAGGCACAATATACATGTACTGTTGACTAACAAGCCCAAAATTCAGCAGGTTATGTTAAATTGCTGATGTTTATAATTGTAAGCTGATGGCACCAGAACAGATTTGTTGTTTATTTGTTTTTAGTATTTTGTGACTGAAATCCCTTCAAAACATAATGAACTATTCTAAATTCAAAGCAGGAACAGTTCATTACATAAATACAGCAGAGTATAATTTGCAAACAGAAAAGTTTTAACAAAAAAGATAACTAATATTAACCTTATTATCACACTTCCTTCCAGTTCTATGACTTAATCCACAAAGCTCACACTGAACAGCAAATTTTGGTTTCTTTACACATGACTTCCCAAAATCTTCAATTTCTTCAAAGTACTGGCTCCCTACATCGTCCATGACATAAAATTTGCGATGATAACGATGTCCACACTTTTCACATACTTCAATAAACACATTCCCATGGAGCTCGCAGAGTTTATCGTCTGGTATTCCTGACAGGCCATGCAGACCGTCACAGTTCTGACTTATGACGCCTTTGAGATAACCACTTTCCATAAGTTTATACAATGCTTCGTGTGAATATGTTGGTCTTAAATTTTCGTATTGAATCCCTGTAAGATTGGAAAGAAAATTATGATATCTATGAAAATCTCACTCAGATGTACATACAATATTGTATATTTAATTAATAGGAATTTCAGCAAGTTTGTATTATTTGTCCAATTTTCTCAAAGATATTTCAACATTAATCAAACTCAAAGAGGTAAAACATAGTTATATAATCATTACCATCATTTTCATCATCATCTTCATCCTCATCTACATTCTCATCACCAGAATCCATGCTTCTTCCAGGTTTCATTTTCTTTGCTGGTGGTTCATCATCAGTTTCAGTACCCGCTTTATCTGTTGCTATAGAAACTGCTCTGTTTTGGTCATCTTCTGTCCATTTTCCGGCCTTTCCTCGATAATCACCAATACCAGCTGATGTTGATATTCCAGCCCCTTTAAAATATATATATATGGTCAGGAATAAAGTATCACAAAGGCGTGGGCATGCATTGTACTATTATAAAATTGTTATCTTTATATGTTTAAAAGACAATACAGTAATACATGTATATAGGAAACAGAACTTCTCATTTTTTTTATGAATTCTGAGTTGAGACATTTTGCTATTTGTAATCTAAACGTAATATGTGTGTCGATAATGAAGACTATCTTCTAGTTCATTCTTTTATTATCAGAGATGTACAAAATTAGTCTACAAACAAAATACAAGGGAATACAGACTACACAATAACATTACTACAGTTAGGCAAACAAATAAGGTCACAACAGTTAGGCAATTACAAACCAGAAACAGCATTACACGGAGGATACAATATATCAGACTCAGTGATCAACAGAAAACGATATACAGGTGACACATAGAATTCTCAAAATCATACCAGTAAAGGCTACACAATGATCAGAACATTTTATCCATTCAGCAGCCTTCTTTGCTTCTTGTAACACTTTACTGTTACTGTCAAATTGTTCAAAAGCATCACTAGCAGTTTCAACTAGTTCTCTTTCTTCTTTTGGCATATACGGTAACTTTTTATTTGGCCTTGACCTGTGAACAACACATGTTATAGATTAATGAATCATCAATGTCAATTAAGGTTAATTTATAAGATGTATATTAAGAAATTTGCAATAAGATTAGGTATTGAAATTAAAAGAAAATATTTGACAAAAAATGTGTGTACATTTCAATATTGCAATATATTATTTACATAAGTTTCTAACATCTTATTAAAAAAAAAATTAAAATATTTAGTCACATTTTTTTGTTGAAACAATGCATATTGTCTATAATTCCCTAAGCAATGTGTTTTTATAGATGCCTTGAAAACATTTGAATGCAGTTTAAAATCTACTTTTCTAATTAGTAAAGTTGTCCATTATGTAATAACGACCTACATCCCTGCCATGTTTGAATATTATGGCATGTGGGTGCCAGTTGAGTTGCGTGCTATACAATTGCATGCTTAGGATGACATAATTTCGCCGTAATGAATGAAGTTGTAATTTCAAATGCTTTTGTAAGAAAATAGTTTCTGTGAGGTTTAATGACATACATTTTCATGGAAAATTGTTTTATTAAGGTAATGAATTTAAAATTTGATGGAATATGGTAGAATATGCAAGAAAAAAATCTTGAGTCCTGACATACAATGTATGTTTGAGGTTCGGATTGGAATATCCGCCCCTCTGGGGCGGGTCCCCTTGGGACAGATATTCCGATCTGAACCGTAAGTTATAATAGATATTATTAATCATATTAAAGGAAACAAACCTTGATATCATGTAAACTTTCTCCCAACAATCAACATGGAACTCTGCTTCTCCGTTTGAATGCCATTTCACTAAAAACTCTTCTTTCAACTTCTTATTAAATCCCGGTTTTGGAAAAACAGTCTTTATTTCAATGCGATCATCAAGAAATTCTTTTTCATCACATCGTCTATAACAACATATCTTCCCATTTTGAGACATGTTCATCATTTATATATATATATATATAAAGACCCTAAATTAAGTAAATATTATGATACATGTACAGTGAACAAGGGAAATTATGAAATATTATATATTCTTAATTTTTCAATGTTGCTTTTATAAGAATATCTACATATATATAGTATAGTTTCACTCTCCTGTCGATTGTTATCATGTCTTATGCCTAGGTCACAAATAAAATGGGCGCCGTCCGATTAAACGATTTTTATAAAATCGGCAGATTTTTTGATGTCGTGGACGCCGGGCGATTTTAAATCTGATACCTTGCGTGGTCACGAATGAAACAGTCGTCGGGCGATTTTTGCCGTGTGGATTTTACAGAAAGAATTGAACGGATCAGGCGGTCGCCGCCCGAAGTAGGTACGGCGCCTGTGCGATTTAAAAGTTAATCGGACGGTTGCCGCGCGGGCACCGGGCGACAATGACTTTACATTTAATGACATCCTAGATCAATCAGCCAGTTGTAATTATGCCAGCAAAGAAGTCAGCTGCCAAACCCAAGGGGGAGGCCAAGGAGTTGGTCCGTGTTGTTGACAACGAGTCACCAACGGCCAGTATCGAGGTTGTAGAAGGCGAAAATCAATCAGACATTCGCATGGACATTGAAGAAAAAATTCATGTTTACTAGTACAATGTATTCAAAAGTATTCAAAAGAAATTCACAAATATATTTTTGAGGCAATTACTTCTTCAAGCTGAAATTACAACAAACACAAGCAGCCCGGTCGCCGGATGACAAAACAAAGACCGCCCGGTACCTGTACATGAATCGTCCGGGTACCGGGCGATAATCGTTTGACTACTTAGCTCTATTCAGGCACCGGGCGGGGCCCGTCCGATGTCCGCCCGGACGCCTTTTAAATCGGACCCTGTTTTAGTAGAACAAAAAATCGCCCGATCAAAAAAATCATCGCCCGGTCGCCGCCCGGCGACCGAACGATGTCCGCTCGATGATATTTATACTCAGTGACCCCAAAAATTATCGTCCGGCCGCCGTTAGCTTTTAAGTATTACTTAAAACTCGAAGGCGCACGCCCGATGAGCAAAATTTTCAGCTGCTGCCGTCCGATAGTCACTGCCGCCGGACAGACGCCGGCCGATATTGCGATTTTTTGGAGAAACAGACGCCGCCCGGCGGCATTTTCTTATTTGTGACCTAGGCTTAAATAAAGATATGTTGCGCAACCTTTGTTTATATCAAAAAGCAATTCAGATGTTGCAAAAGTTCAGCGATCGTGTCTAATACCTGTATTGTGCCGTATCCGTAGAAAAAAGGTTCATTTCGAAAATAAGACGTTTCGTCCACATTATGGTCAACCCTTAAACTGTACAAGTTTCTGTATATTTTTAAGTGCATAAAGGTGGATATTTGCTGAAAATGTGTTGGTAATTATTTTCTACTTTTATTTGAGTGAAGCAGTTTGGAATCGTTCAGAAAAAGGTCCCATACAAGACTAGTTTAGGACTACTGGTCATTTTTATACCCTACTTCTGACTATTTTTAAGTGTGCAAAACTGAACATTTTCTGCTAGTTATGCGTAACTATTCATCTAAGTTTTTATATTTTATGCTCACAACCTTGCCATATGGCGGGTCCTCAAATGTTTCACTACATATACAATTAATGTTGTTATATTTTCATTCTAATGTCCTGTTTGCATTAATGTCTTTTTTAATATTCCTCTTGGTTTCTATGATATCCTTTTTTGAATTATTTTTAATGCCTACCCTTAATTCGTCTCCTGTTGGGCTCCTTTCCGTGGTCGTATCTTGCTGGGATGTGTAAGGGAGAGAATAGTCTGACTACCGTGTTGGGGAATCCGTTCATTGAATGTCACCCTTCCTTGTTGATCTTTGTTTTTCATATTTTGTCTTGTACTTTTCCAAACAAAAGCTGATTTAATCAGTATTATACGTTTGCACACCCAAAGGAAGGGATATGTCCTTGGTCCAGTCCTTTTTATACTCTACATGTACATAAACGACCTGCACGAAAGCATAGTTTCACAGGTCCAGTTATTTGCTGATGACACTGCTATGTATAGCACAGTTAGCTACTGTACACAAGAGCATGTCTTGCAAAAGGACTTAAATAGGTTAGAACAGTGCATGGAAAAACACATGGGATATGGAATTCAATCCATCTAAATGTGAAGTAGTAAACACCACCAGATCAAAACACGCACATAAAACAACCTACACATAACAAGGTCAAGCACTAGGAACAGTAACTGGTGCTGTTAACATCAAGTCTGACCTTAACTGGAATAAACACATAAATCAGGTCACCTCAACAGCTTCCAAAACTTACAATTTAACTTTATAAAACGAAACCCCAAAAGCTACCAAAACTCTTTACTTTATAAAATCAAAATTAGGAAAGAGAGTTTGCCTATAAATATACAGGAAAATATACTTAATAGATCTAGATGGTTCATTGCAGTGCTGTTTCATGAGTCACCAGTAACTGCTCTCCTAACAGCAGTGGCAAAAACCTATTAAGTCAACTACAGTGGTGTTCCCTTGGAAAAAGAAAGATTGAGGCCAGGTCACTGATGTTCTACAAGATTCGTTGTTAATGGACTTGTCGAGAATCAACGCCTTATCACGGAAGGGCAGCTGAGGTCTTCCTTCACCAGTAAAGCTGGAATGTTGCGATATGACATATACTGTGTCGATGTGACGTAAAACCCAAAACAAACAAACAAACTAAACAACGCCTTATATTACTCCTCACTAGGCATGCATCTCCTTTCTTATAGACAAATATACACGTATAATCTATGTAACTACAAGTCCACCCCCGGCAATTATCATACTTAACATGCTTTAGAATTATCTGCTATCCAATGTTGTACAAGCTCCTACCCTACCCCCCTACCCTACCTCCTACCATACCCCACCCCTACCCCTACCCTACCCATAATTATGACTTTATAGAAAATCAGTGTTACGGTAATTATTGCTAAAATTTCGAGTTTCTGCGATGACAATGAACGTTTTCTCCTTTTCAATAATAATAATAATTATAATTATAATAATGATATTTTTTTTATCTATAATAAAGAAAAGAAAATAGTCCGAAGTGTCTGGTCCGAAACGTCCATGGTCCGAAATGTCCTATTACCTATAATTTATGGGGCGAATCGTAACGATGGCGAATCGTCATGATACCCGGTATGTAACGGCTGATATATGACGGAAAATATTCCAATAGCATTGAAAATCGTAAACTTCCGCTTTAAGAAAAACACGTGTTTTCGTGACTACTTCAGTTTTTATACATTTATTCAGATGAAATAACAATATGCATTGATAATTTTTGAAAATAATAGTAAAATACAATACTGAGAGTATAACTGATTGTTTATTCAATGTTTAATGTAATTATGCCAGCCCCGAGTAAGATATTCACAGGGTATCGTGCTCTTGGATTTGTTAGCAACCATGTTCCACTGGCAGTTCGTTACCACCAGAAGCACAAAGAGAATTATGTTGTAACTTGTGTCGGAAAATGTTTCCATACATATAATGTAAGTAATTTGCTAAAACTTGCAGGATGGTTAATGACATTTAGGAATATAATTTATAATATTCAACTACATGTAGACCCCTACATGTATGTCTTTTCTTTTTATATGTTAGGGAAAAAAGTTAAATAATGGCATACATGTCTAGTTGCTGAACCTGCTGAATTTACTTAAAGGACCTGCACCTCTTCAGTTTTTGGCACTGTCCATTATCACGTTTGGGGATATCAAGATGAAAAATTAAAGTTAGTCAGCCAACAGTGTAGAGCCTACCAAGACTGCATACTTTCAAAATGCATTATGCGTCAATTTAAAGACAAATTTGAATGGCAGAAATTTCATAACTAGTATGATATTTCAAACCTTTTTAGTTTGGTTTATGTTTTTTGCATTTCCATATAATGTTCATGTTGGTTAGAAGCCATACTGTATTTACTGTTTATATGTAATAATGTATTTGTTATAAACCTTATTATATATATTATAGTATTAATGACTTGTCCAATTGATATAGTGTAGACATTTATTCTTATTCATCTCCTTTTCAGTGTTCCAAGCTTGGCATTGTTAGTGTTAGTAAGTATTTTTTTTTCATTAACTCTGTAACATTTATATTTTATTTTGTTTCATATGTATCGCTAAACGCCGTTTTCCGGTACTTTCTGTACATAGCTCTGGGGAATTCGCCTAATGGAGTGTAATAGCGAACTTGATGTTTTTGGCCTTTTTTAAATTAAATTGAAATAAAACAGTTATTTCTTTATATTAAGAAAATATTTTAAATATCATTGTATGAATAATTCCATACAAAAAATAAAGTAAATACACAAGTTTACGCAGAAAATATCCTTATTTATTATGAAAGATTCCACTACGTCTGTTTAAATTTTATTGATTTTCATTATAAAAAATTAATTTTTTGAAAAATTTGCTACAGATATTGAAGGAATATTGATAATTTTCAAAACCATCAATTATTTTCACCTGAAACGGTAAAATAATGATAGAAGAAAATAGAAATATCATGTAACTGTGTTATGTACTTCATTTGGTGTAATTCCCCAGAGCTAAATCCGTAACGTACCGGAAAACGGTGATTAGCTAGGTTTTCGAAAAGGTCAATTTTTAGTAGTGATAGGTGTCTAAGTATCAATGGCAATTATCTCAGTTGGTTAAACTTAAAGGAAATTTGATTTTTCCAATTTTAGATTGTTTGAAATTCATCGTTAAATAAAATTATACTAGTTATGATGGCAATAGTGAAATATTTGTGCAGTCTAAAGGATAACATGCAAAAATGAATGTACTTCAGCATGTTCAGAATGGCATTATAGTAGACATGTTTAAAACACTTTTATTATGTAAGTCAAGAGTACATGTGACCTACACTTTACCTTTATTTTTTATTTTGATCTAAAGGCTATTTTGAGGTTATTGTTATAAAAACTTATAAGTCAACTGTCTGTTTTGAAAAAGACAATGTCACAAATGAAGGGTAGGGTACCCAGGAGAGACAGTGTTTTGTTTTATTGAATAGAAATTCTGAATTCTGTAAAGTATTTAAATGAAGCATTAGAGTGGTAATGATTTTTATGGTGAGAATTTTAATTTATTTCAGGTGACAGTCACCCTGAGGATATAAGTGTTCTAGCAGTGGATAGAGATCTTACATTTACTGCTTGTAGAAATGTTATCAGGGCATTCACAAGGGGAAGGCAGGTAATTGTAATACAGTATTTGATCAGTATTTGATCTTGTAACATATTTTTGTGATATAGGTTAGAACCCCACACAAAGAATATAAACAGGATCATAAAGTGAAAATCTTTGATTATGAAGATGAAATGCACAGCATTTGACACAGGTTGAATTTCATAATTTGTTCAGTTTTGATCATACCGGTAATTATGGGATAGCACTGATAAAGTATCTGTATTTTACATTTTATATGAAACCTAGAAATGATGGGAAAATGGTTATGGTTAAACAAACCTTATTTTGTTTCAATAGCATTAAATTTGGCATCATTAATGAACTTGGAATATTTATTAATGAAATTTGAGAGAATATGTACATTATTTTATTGTTAAATTAAATCTACTTGTTTTCTTTGCTTTTCAATAGTCTATTAATTGTATAATTAACCCAAACTCAGTTACCCAAAGAGCTTAAAGATTTACAGACCTAGGGTTGGGTATGTAAAAAACCATGGCATGGAGAGTCTCCTGTATTACAGTGCAACCTCTGTAAAATGACCCTTTGAATGGCAAACACTGTCTTCTTTACAACAAAAGTAACAATTACAGTGCAACCCATATTCTTCAAATTGTTGGGGGGGGGGGGGTATTCAAATAAAGGGTTGTCGAATAACCAGGGTCAGACTGTCTTTCCAAAGGCTTTACAATCATTTTATACTCTCGAAAGCAACACCTCTTAGCAACAAACAAGTCTTTGTCTCCAAAAGGATATTGCTCTGCAGTAGTTGTACTGTAAATAATTATTTAGGTTAAATGTTTATTTGAAAATTGTACATGTATGCTGTTATATTCAGGTTATACATGTATATGAAGGTCATACAGCAGATGTACATCTATTGTTACCGTTTGGAAATCATCTGATATCAGTGGATGTTGACAGTTCTGTCATTGTATGGGATATCAAGTCTCAAGGTTGGTTATTTACATTTGCTGTATACAACTGTTTGATTCAGTACCCTTGCTGTTCAGGTGAATTTAAATATCAAACAATCATTTTGGCACAGTTTACATACCTTTTTGCCTGAAGTTAAGTTTTAGATTCAAATCTTTGGTCAAAGATATTTCAAGTTTCCTGTCATTTAACTTTACGTCTTGAAAATGTAGACTTGTCTTTATTTGCCATTTTAGGTCAATATTCTGAGATTCAATTCAACAAGACCAGTTTTGAGATCACCACAGTGACCCACCCAAGCACGTACCTCAACAAGATACTATTTGGTAGCAAGCAAGGCAGGTTGGAGTTATGGAATATCAAGAAAAACACTATGATATATTCATTTAAGGGATGGGGTCAACCAGTTACAGTTGTTGAACAGGTGAGTATTTTGGGTTATGGCCAGTAAGTGAGGGAAAGGCACACAGAGGCTGTTGAAGAGTCAACTCGCTTAGCTCAATAGGGACATCATCAAATTTGTTATCCATAGGTGGCTGGTTTGATCATTAGTTGAGGCTAAATTTCTCTGTAACAATTGATCTCATACATTGAGTTTATTGGTCATTTGTCTCTCACTGCAAATTCAGAAATCATGTTGGATTAGTAGTTGGTCACTTGCAATGAAATTGTTAATTACTGGTTAGTTGTCCAGGAAATCCAATTAGGTGGACCACCAGCCAAGAGATGACCAAAATATATTTAAATCAGACCAAACAAACACACTTTTCTTGTAGAGAGAGACCTTCAGTTCCATTTTTCAATATTTTAAGAGCTGGAGATTTGTTGGACACACTGTTTGTTGATGAATGCACCTTGTGTGATTTTATGATACACAATTCTCAAAAAACAGCTAGATTGTACAGCTACTTGATATATTATGAACTTTTTGTTGCTTAAAGGAACTCCACTGAGGTCAAAAAGCCTAAAAATATATAAATTGAAATTCTTATATTGATCAAGGGAAATATAAAGCTTTATATCTTTTACATGCTTGTATGATAAAACTTTTGCATGCAATACATTTTTTAAGGCACCAGCCGTAGATGTTGTTGCGATTGGCTTAGCTAATGGACAGATTATCATCCATAATCTCAAGTTTGACGAGACAATTACAAAGTTTTTACAAGACTGGGGTCCGGTCACTACCATATCGTTTAGAACAGGTAAGAGTTACATTTACTGTGCCCAAAACAAAAGTTATAAGCCTTTGCCACCAGTGTAGAGCCAGGCCAGCCTGAAAAGCTTTTCAAAGTGTTATTGGAAACTGTCGAATACTGTGCAGGCTGAATGCGACTAATGAATATGACTTGACTTGAAAGTTGGATTCCTTGAGATATTTCATGGATTGGATTCTTTAGTGTAGTAATTTGTTGAACTCAATGGTCAAGCACATTGAGAGGAAGTGCAGTGCTCAAGAGCCATAACTTGATCTTGACTAATTACAGAGTTATAGCCCTTTGTTACTTTTCATTGTCCAGAGCATAACTTGAAAACTACTGGTTGGAATTCAAAACAACTTCATACAATGGTCAAGCAGAATAAGAGGAAGTGCAGTGCACAAGAACCATAACTCTATCTAAAGTAATTACATAGTTATTGCCCTTTTTTACTTTTTTTGTCCAGTGCATAACTTGAAAACTACTATTTGGAATTCAATACATTTTCATACTATGGTCAAGTGCAATGAGAGGATCAATTCTTTTACAAGGTATTCTGTTATAAGTAACTTCCTCATTTCTGAAGCAGTCTTGCGGGGGTATTAATCACATTTAGTGATAGTTCTAGTTAATGTTTAGTTATGTTTCCTCAAAATAGCATTGTCTTGTTGCATACATGATACTAATAATAGAATTTAGATTTTGTTTGATATCATTCTCAACAAAACTATTGTTACAATAAATATGGAAGGGAAACTATACATTTAACAAATGTTACTGTGTTATTTTTCTTGGCAGATGGTCATCCTATAATGGCAACAGGAAGTGCTACAGGTCATATTGCATTATGGGATCTGGAGGAGAGGAAGTTGCGCAGCCAGATGAGAGAAGCTCACATGACATCTGTATCAGGCATGCAGTGTTTGCCGTCAGAACCTTTGATGGTCACTTCATCTGCTGATAATACATTGAAGGTATATAATAATATCAGTATTTAATATCCATAATTTCTTATAGATAAGCTATTGAAATTGCTCATAATTTTGAAATAAACTAAAACAGGAAATACATGGGGCTGTTTTATTTCACAACTTTGAAAAATTAATGCAGGAATGTTATAACAAATGACAAAGATCTCTGATTTTGACACACTGTTTTGTTATCCCCCGCCGATGAACTCGGGAGGGGGATATAGTTTTGGCGTTGTCCGTCCGTCCGTCCATCCGTCCGTCCGAATTTCGTTTCCAGAGTAGTTCTCTGCAACTAATGGATGGAATTCAACGAAACTTTATGGGAATGTTGATCAGCATGTGAAGTTGTGCACTTGGGTATTTTCGTCTGGATATTTTTAGTATTTTTAGAGTTATTGCCCTTGACTCAAGAAAATTTTGTCCGAATTTCGTTTCTGGAGTAGTTCTCTGCAACTAATGGCTGGAATTCAACGAAACTTTATGGGAATGTTGATCAGCATGTGAAGTTGTGCACCTGGGTATTTTCGTCTGGAAATTTTTAGTATTTTTAGAGTTATTGCCCTTGACTTAGTAAAATTTTGTAATTTTCAACTTGGGTCGCATGTAACTCAAAAAGTATTTGACCTAGAGTCATGAAACTTTACAGGAATGTTGATCAGTATGTGTAGTTGTGCACCTGGGTATTTTCGTCTGGATATTTTTAGAATTTTTAGAGTTATTGCCCTTGACTTAGTAAAATTTGTAATTTTCAACTTGTGTCGCATGTAACTCAAAAAGTATTTGACCTAGAGTCATGAAACTTTACAGGAATGTTGATCAGTATGTGTAGTTGTGCACCTGGGTATTTTCATGTGGATATTTTTAGTATTTTTAGAGTTATTGCCCTTGACTTAGTAAAATTTTGCAATTTTTAACTTGTGTTGCATGTAACTCAAAAAGTATTTGACCTAGAGTCATGATACTTTACAGGAATGTTGATCAGCATGTGAAGTTGTGCACCTGGGTATTTTCGTCTGGATTTATTTAGTATTTTTAGAGTTATTGCCCTTGACTTAGAAAATGTTTGCAATTTTCAACATGTGTCACATGTAACTCAAAAAGTATTTGACATAGAGTCATTAAACCTTATTGGAAAGTTGCTCAGCATATTTAGTTTGTTCCTGGGGTTTCGCTTGTGGATTTATCCAGTATTTGTAGAGTTATTTCCCTTGACTTAGTAAAAACTGTTTCATTATGTTGTTATTTGATCCTTGAGTGCTTGAGTTAGAATCGACCAACTTTACAGGAATAATGATCAACATCACTAAATTACAGGAATAATGATTCACCTCACTGTGAAGCTATGAACCTGGGACTTTGCATGTGGATTTTTTTCAGTTTTGTTAGAGTTATTGCCCTTGAATTACAGTAGTATAAATTTGCAATTTTCAACTTGGGGTTTGCTTGGGGATTTATTCAGTATTTGTAAAGTTCTTGCCCTTTACTTAGTAAAAAGATTTTTAGTTTTCAAAAAATATTTGACCTAGAGTCATAAGATTGACAGAACAGTGGCGTGGTGGGGGCACCCGTGTCCTATGGACACATTTCTAGTTTTTTAGCTCACCTGACCACGAACTGGTCATGGTGAGGTATAGTGATGGGGCTATGTCCGGCGTCCGTCGTAGTGCGTCGTTCGTCGTCAACAATTGGGTTATTAACAGTCCAGCAGTCACAGTTTTGATCAGATCATCATCAAACTTTGTCAGAAGGTTTGTCTCAATGAAATACAGATCGAGTTCGAAGATGGGTTATCTCGGGTCAAAAACTAGGTCACAGGAGCTAAAAATAGAAAAAGCTTGTTGACACTCTAGAGGCTACAGTTTTCATCCAAATATTCTTGAAATTTGTCAGGAAGGTTGTTTTGATGATATCTAGGCCAAGTTCGAAGATGGGTCATCTCCGGTCAAAAACTAGGTCACAGGAGCTAAAAATAGAAAAAGCTTGTTAACACTCTAACAATTGGGTTGTTAACAGTCTAGCAGTCACAGTTTTGATTGGATCATCATCAAACTTTGTCAGAATGTTTGTCTCAATGAAATACAGATCGAGTTCGAAGATGGGTTATCTCGGGTCAAAAACTAGGTCACAGGAGCTAAAAATAGAAAAAGCTTGTTAACACTCTAGAGGCTGCAGTTTTTATCCAAATATTATGGAAATTTGTCAGGAAGGTTGTTTTGATGATATCTAGGTCAAGTTCGAAGATGGGTCATCTCCGGTCAAAAACTAGGTCACAGGAGCTAAAAATAGAAAAAGCTTGTTAACACTCTAGTGGCTGCAGTTTTTATCCAAATATTCTGGAAATTTGTCAGGTAGGTTGTTTTGATGATATCTAGGTCAAGTTCGAAGATTGCTCATGTCTGGTCAAAAACTAGGTCACAGGAGCTAAAAATAGAAAAAGCTTGTTAACACTCTAGTGGCTGCAGTTTTAATCCAAATATTCTGGAAATTTGTCAGGAAAGTTATTTTGATGATATCTAGGTCAAGTTCGAAGATGGGTCATCTTCGATCAAAAACTAGGTCACAAGAGCTAAAAATAGAAAAAGCTTGTTAACACTCTAGAGGCTGCAGTTTTAATCCAAATATTCTGGAAATTTGTCAGGAAGGTTGTTTTGATGATATCTAGGTCAAGTTGGAAGATGGGTCATCTTCGGTCAAAAAACAAGGTCACAGGAGCTAAAAATAGAAAAAGCTTGTTTACACTGTAGAGGCTGTAGTTTTCATCCAAATATTCTGGAAATTTGTCAGGAAGGTTGTTTTGATGATATCTAGGTCAAGTTCGAAGATGGGTCATCTCCGGTCAAAAACTAGGTCACAGGAGCTAAAAATAGAAAAAGCTTGTTAACACTCTAACAATTGGGTTGTTAACAGTCTAGCAGTCACAGTTTTGATTGGATCATCATCAAATTTTGTCAGAATGTTTGTCTCAATGAAATACAGATCGAGTTCGAAGATGGGTTATCTCGGGTCAAAAACTAGGTCACAGGAGCTTAAAATAGAAAAAGCTTGTTAACACTCTAGTGGCTGCAGTTTTGATCCAAATATTCTGGAAATTTGTCAGGAAGGTTGTTTTGATGATTTCTAGGTCAAGTTCGAAGATGGGTCATCTCCGGTCAAAAACTAGGTCACAGGAGCTAAAAATAGAAAAAGCTTGTTAACACTCTAGTGGCTGCAGTTTTAATCCAAATATTCTGGAAATTTGTCAGGAAAGTTATTTTGATGATATGTAGGTCAAGTTGGAAGATGGGTCATCTTCGATCAAAAACTAGGTCACAGGAGCTAAAAATAGAAAAAGCTTGTTAACACTCTAGAGGCTGCAGTTTTAATCCAAATATTCTGGAAATTTGTCAGGAAGGTTGTTTTGATGATATCTAGGTCAAGTTGGAAGATGGGTCATCTTCGGTCAAAAACTAGGTCACAGGAGTTAAAATTAGAAAAAGCTTGTTAACACTCTAGAGGCTGTAGTTTTCATCCAAATATTCTGGAAATTTGTCAGGAAGGTTGTTTTGATGATATTTAGGTCAAGATTGAAGATGGGTCATGTCCGGTCAAAAACTAGGTCACAGGAGCTGAAAAATAGAAAAAGCTTGTTAACACTCTAGTGGCTGTAGTTTTCATCCAAATATTCTGGAAATTTGTCAGGAAGGTTGTTTTGATGATATCTAGGTCATGTTCGAAGATGGGTCATCTCTGGTCAAAAACTAGGTCACAGGAGCTAAAAATAGAAAAAGCTTGTTAACACTCTAGTGGCTGCAGTTTTCATCCAAATATTCTGGAAATTTGTCAGGAAAGTTGTTTTGATGATTTCTAGGTCAAGTTCGAAGATGGGTCATCTTCGGTCAAAAACTAGGTCACAGGAGCTAAAAATAGAAAAAGCTTGTTAACACTCTAGAGGCTGCAGTTTTTATCCAAATATTCTGGAAATTTGTCAGGAAGGTTGTTTTGATGATATCTAAGTCAAGTTCGAAGATGGGTCATCTCCGGTCAAAAACTAGGTCACAGGAGCTAAAAATAGAAAAAGCTTGTTAACACTCTAGTGGCTGCAGTTTTGATCCAAATATTCTGGAAATTTGTCAGGAAGGTTGTTTTGATGATATCTAGGTCAAGTTCGAAGATGGGTCATCTCCGGTCAAAAACTAGGTCACAGGAGCTATAAATAGAAAAAGCTTATTAACACTCTAGTGGCTGCAGTTTTCATCCAAATATTCTGGAAATTTGTCAGGAAAGTTGTTTTGATGATTTCTAGGTCAAGTTCGAAGAAGTGTCATGTCCGGTCGAAAACTAGGTCACTGGAGCTAAAAATAGAAAAAGGTTGTTAACACTCTAGGGGCTGCAGTTTGCATCCAAATATTCTGGAAATTTGTCAGGAAGGTTGTTTAGATGATATCTAAGTTAAGTTCGAAGATGGGTCATGTCTGGTCAAAAATTAGGTCACAGGGGCTAAAAATAGAAAAAGCTTGTTAACACTCTAGTGACTGCAGTTTTCATCCAAATATTCTGGAAATTTGTCAGGAAGGTTGTTTTGATGATATCTAGGTCAAGATTGAAGATGGGTCATGTCCGGTCAAAAACTAGGTCACAGGAGCTGAAAAATAGAAAAAGCTTGTTAACACTCTAGTGGCTGCAGTTTTCATCCAAATATTCTGGAAATTTGTCAGGAAAGTTGTTTTGATGATTTCTAGGTCAAGTTCGAAGATGGGTCATCTTCGGTCAAAAACTAGGTCACAGGAGCTAAATATAGAAAAAGCTTGTTAACACTCTAGTGGCTGCAGTTTTCATCCAAACATTCTGGAAATTTGTCAGGAAAGTTGTTTTGATGATTTCTAGGTCAAGTTCGAAGATGGGTCATCTCAGGTCTCATGTCCAGTCAAAAACTAGGCCACCGGAGCTAAAAATAGAAAAATCTTTTTAACACTCTGGTGGCTGCAGTTTTAATCCAAATTGCCTGGAAATTGGTCAGGAAGGTTGTTTTGATATTTTCTAGGTCAAGTTTGAATATGGGGCGTGTCCGGTCAAAAATTAGGTCACATTGCCCAAATATGGAAAAGTCTTTATAACACACTAGAGGTCACATGTTTTACTCAGTTGTCATCTAACTTGGCCATGATGCTTGTTTAAGACATTGCTTGGATGCGGTTGTGTCAGGTGAGCGATCCAGGGCCATCATGGCCCTCTTGTATTAAAGAAGAATTAAAATGATTTGTTACAATAACATTTAAAAATATTTGAAAATTGTGAGATCCCTTCTTGATGCCTTGAAAATGGCAATGAAGTCCAGACTTCCCGAAAGTTGAAAAAAACTGTCAGACATTCGGTCTGACAAACCATGAAAATCTGTCGGACCGAAACAAAATCTGTCGGACCAAATAAAATTGATCAAAATCAAAGAAAAACTTGTGTTTGTATTTCTAAGACACTTTTTGTCTTTTATTTTTTCGCCGTAAAAATCGGCACTATCCGTACAGCGCATTTTCATCTTCTCCCAGTCATACACCAATGATTCATGGTTCTGCTTCCATTTCTCATGAAACTTTGTCTCAGGTCTATTCTTTTCATCCTTTTATTGCTGTTCTGCGCACTCTTCTGACGTAGATTTTCGTTTTTCCCCAGGTTTGGCACCTTTAGCGACGCCATTTTGTATACATGCGGCTTGGATAAAAGCCGGACAGTCGGACCGATCCGGAATAAAAAAATGTCGGACCTGATCAAAATTTATCAGACATGTCCGTCGGACCGACGTATTTCGGGAAGTCTGAAGTCTAGGGTGGTCCCCTGCCAAAGTTGATCAAATGGTTCCGGTCTGTTGCATAAGTAGGTCACAGGGCCAGAAAAGGAGTTTCAAAAATGCAAAATTAAAAAATCTTGTCTGAAAGTACAAGGCCTAGAGCTTTGATATTTGGTATATGATATAACCTATAGGTCCTCTACCAAAATTGTTCAAATTTTAGCCCTGGGGTCAAAATTGGCCCCACTCAAGGGGGTCATAGATTTTCCTTATATGTAAATAGTGAAAACTTAAAAATTCTTCTTGTTTGAAGGTACAAGGCTTCAAGTTCAAAGAATATTATAGTTTATGCCATGATTAATATATAAATAAAGCCTTATGTCTTCAGTTGTTGTGTTAATAATAACCAGTACTTGGCGGGGGATATAAATTCAACGAATTTGCTTGTTTAAAACTGTTATTCTAAAACATTTTTGAGATCAGTCTTCAGAATTTATTAAGGACAAGTACAACATGGACTTTCCTCTTAAGTTAAATTATTTAATTATCTTAAAATATTTAAGAAAAAACATTTCAGGTGTGGATATTTGATTTGCCAGATGGGGGTGGAAGACTTCTGCGTAACAGGTCAGGACACTCGGCACCTTCCACAAAATTGAGGCATTATGGGACAGATGGTCAGAACATTGTTACAGCAGGTAGGATTTTGTTGTTGTTTGTTTTAATTTTCTTATGAATCAATAATTGAAGATTGAAATTGGAAATATGGTCTAAATATCTTTTTTAGAGATGTAAAGTTAGATAGACTTTAATTCAGGTGGAAATATATCTTAGCCAGGTTGCATAGGTGTCTCATGATGAATTGTTTGCTTTACAAAACAACAGAATGATTATCAGTCAAAGTTACAGGTTGGCACCTAGGTCTTTGTTGTATGACACCTTTCGTGCATTAACTGCTTGTTATAGCAAATTCTTCCTTTAATGGCTCAAAAGGGAGGGCATTAGATTAGTTATTCAAGGGTAGCTGGTTCAATCCTTAGGCAAGATGTGATTTCTTAGTGATCATTGATTATGGACTTTGATGATTGAGACAAATGGTCATTAATTTTTTTTCCTTCACTGCTTTTCAGAGGTCATGTGCCAGTCTCTTACTCAAAAGTTTGTAATTACTGATTGTTTATTCAGAAGGATCTACCTTTGAGTTAAAACAAAAAAAATGTGTTAAAGTTGGCATGAAAACAAAGTTCCTTTAATCTAGGTAGTTTAGGTTTAGACCAAGGCTCATGCATGATTCATCTTGGAAATACAGTATGGTTAGAATTTAGAAATGAAAACTTGTGTAAGAACGTTACATAACTGTTATTGTTTTACTCTTTTTTGCTAATGAAATTTTGAACAACTTGTACTATTTTTAATGCACATATAATAACAAAATGTCTTGATTAATATAATTCATATTGTATAGGTCAGGACAGTACAATGAGGTCATTTTCCACAGTACATGACAAGCACCACAAAAGTCTTGGCAGGGCCTCGTACAATAAGCAGCTTAGTAAGAAGAACACATTGAAATATGATGAACACAAGATGCCATATATTGTTGACTTTGCTACAGGTTTGTCTGATTTTAAGTATAGTATAACATTAATTGCTATATTTTAGCTTGACTGGTATTATGTGAGACTTGTCAAGTTATTTGTTTTATCAGATTTCTTGATCCTCCTTTAGGTCATAAAGGGAGAAAGCATTGGAAATGTAACCAGGTGGTTGAATAGTTAGATTCTTAGGGAGGTCATATTTATCTGTGACAATTGCTCTCGGACATTGACTGTTATGGTCATTTGTCTCTCATTGATGATTCAGAAATCATGTGGGATAAGTAGTTGGCTTGTCGAGAAATTTCCGGTAAATTGGATCGATTTGCTTGTCCCTTATTACCTCAAGCTTGGGCAGAATTTTTTTAAGTTACTGGTGTAGATCTACACGAAGATTTTGATACATATCATTTACTTAAAATTTCGAATTATTCCATTACGTTTGCCTACTTTTTACGAAAACAAGGATTGTGTCATAGTTGTATATTATTTATAAGAAAAGATTCAACTCTATTCAAGCCATATCTTCTAGATGTTTATATTTTTGGTGAAATACTTTGTGAGAATTTACCATACTGTCAAAATTTGTATCAAGGGACTACTCAAAGAAAATGCAAAAAAAAAATGGTAGCTTAATTCATCTCTTTATACAAAGCATGACATTTCAAGTAAAGCCAAAGTTAAGAATATTTCTCTTGAATACAGCAGTGTTCTATAAAAACACAAAGGCATGATGAAATTTAGATGAAAATTACATTCTAAGATACAAGTGGTCACATGAGAAAGATTGACAGAAAATATTGCTAGGCAAGTAGTCAGTCACCTTTGCTAATCTGAGTGAGCACTGTATTTAAGGATTCTGATTTCCAGATGAGCCATGTATTATCTAGCTGTTCAATTTCTTTAGCAAAATTTCTGAGTTTTTTTTCATTTTATATTCATAAACAGAACAAACAAGACAGAGTGATTGGGACAATATTCTGGCGTGTCACAGAGGCCTGCGTGTTGTTACTACCTGGAACTATGTAAAGTCTACTATGGGTCAACATAAATTTGATCATAAAAGATTTACAAAGAATGCCGCTCAGCACATGCACACTGTTGCTCAGGTAAAATATCTGTCTTGAATCGTCTGAACTTTGTATAAATGGAATAATTTGGTGTTATTATACAGTAAAAACTTTTGTGATATATCTTGTTGATGGCATATTTATATTTGATGTTATTTGGAAACATTTGTCTGTATTATAGTGTGTAGAGATCACATCTTGTGGTAACTTTGGTCTGATTGGCTACAGTTCTGGGCATATAGACGTGTATAATCTACAGTCTGGTATACATAGAGGAAGTTTTGAGGATCATTCTGGGGAACAGGCCGGCATTAAACAAGCAAAAGGTATAAACAAATGTCAGTTATATTTAGTTTTGTTTATGGATTAGGAATTTGTGCTGATTTTTTTCAGACGAGACACCTAAACAATGTAGAAAATGAAGGTAGATTTTAATATTAGATTATTATTTTTTCTGCAAGGAATTCACACTAATTCTTCAAGGGAGACAACCTAACATTATAAATAATAAGGTAAATTTGATTATAGATTGCATTGTCTGTGTAAGGAATTCATATTGTTTGTTCAGTGGGGATAACTCTTTAAAGGTTTCTATAAATATGGCTTTCAGTCATTATTGTTCATTTTTAAGAGTTAAATTTTTTTTTCTCAGGGGAGACAACTTGACAATGTAGAATGTTAAGACAAATATGAATGATATAGTGTAATAAATTTTGAATGAAATATACTCATAGACACAAAATAGAAATTATGTCAAACTAATAAGGAGTACAACTTACCACAGCTCTTGTTGTCATGGCAAGAAAAATTTCTTTTATGCTTGGATCAGTAGATAATGAGATTGTGTTGATCTGTCTTGTTTGTCTTATTTGAAGCATGGAAGTTATTCCACGTACAGCCTCCAACCTTCACAGGGGCATGCACAGAAAAGACTTACTTATGGTCAAGGGTCAATGAGGTTAAGGTCCCAGATGTGGGCATGACACTCCTAAAACATAGAGCTTGTTTTACTCTGAGTTTTTAAATGTAAATATATGTACATGTATGTTAACATTTTTTTTCAATTCACAAGAGCTTGCACCTTTAAATCTACCCGGAAGACTTACTTTGGATCAAAGGTCAACGAGGTCGAGGCCCCTGATGTGGGCATGACATTCATTCAAACATATTGCTTGTTTTACTGTGAATATTTTCATTGTAAATATGTGTATGTTAACTTTTTTTTCAGCACACAATTCCCATGTACAGGGTGTAGTTGTTGATGGGTTGAATCAGCTCGCTATCTCTGCAGGCAGGGAGGGTGATATAAAGTTCTGGAAATTCAAAGACAAAAAGCTGTTGGACACATGTAAACTGGACTCCACTGTTTCTAAGATACTCCTTCATAGAGAAAGGTAAATTTTTCATTTTCTTGATGCTATTTTCGACTGTAAGCAATAGATATACTCAAGTTAAAGATTTTTCAAAAATTTACTCTGCCATTATAAGGGGTAACTTGATATTATAAAGGCTAGTATGAGTTAAATGTTAAGATATTTGTTCATCTTAAACAAATAATCTCCAGTTCCAGTGTTAAGTGGGTCAAATTTACACACCTAATTAACTTGAACTTTGATGAGATACTTATTCACTTTAAGCTTGGAGTTCTATGAAATGCATTTGTAGGGGGGAGAAAATCATGAAAGCCGTTTTTGCTTTATTATTTCCAATGTTTGACTTTGAATATTTGCTTTTCTCGAAAACCATTAAAGGTATTCGCTTCGAACTTTAAATATTTCTTGACTTTCAAAGGCAGGTAAGTCTGATAAGCATGTGTGCAGAGTAATGCCCCCTTTTCAATGTTGCTTTTTTTACTATCCAGCACTGAGAAAAGTGGAGCACTCTGTCTGTGGACAAGTCTTGTTTAATAAGATACAAATCTCTAGATCTCTTGATATGATGTTTGAATAAAGTAAACGTTCAGATCTTAGTGATGAAACCTTCTTTACTGATCAAGAGATCTTAGTTAATTATTTGTAATGACTTTGTTGGACAGCTTTCGTGATGCTTCACAATTTTTTGCAGATTTTCGCTCTTTTACTTAAACTTCTTATCATTTCTTTATATTAAAGACATTTTTATAGCTGTTTTATTATTATATCATCTGATAACCTAATGTTTCAATGTGAGCAGTACTGATCATACAATCGTCTGTTTTCTGTTACATGCACTTAATAGTTGTTAACATGCTAATGCTCAGTTTTGATGGGACATTAAAACAATGTCATCAGGACTGGTCTGATCAAATCATTAAAGAAAATGTTTGTGTTTTATTGTTAATTTAAGTGACTTTATTTTTAAGTTTGGAAATTCCTAAATTTGAGCAACATAAAAAGTTAAGTTTTGAATGTTAAATTTTCCCATGGATTAGTGGGTCTTTATTTCAAACCTCTGATAAAATAGAAGTTTGATGAAATTTTCTACAGTTTTAAGATACAAATAAAACAGTCACATTCTGTAGATAAATATTATCTCTTGACATGATGTTTCAATAAAGTAAACGTTCAGATCTACATGATGAAAACATTTGCACTGATCAAGAGATCTAAATAATTACCTTAATGATTTTAAAAAGACTGGCACTTTTTAAAAATATTTTAGCACTTTACCAAAATTGCTTATTTCTTTTTATGATTAGCTTCCAATGTCAGCTCACCCAAGCTTGTAATTATTTAGTGTGAGCTGAATGGACCAGTTAGTTGTCCATGTTCTGTCTATGTTCTGTCTAACACACTAAAAGGTTGTTATTGGTGCAGTTTTGATAGAACCCTTATCAAACTTTGTCAGAATGTTTGTCTCAATAAAGAAAGTCTTTGGCATAATAAAACAAGGATCATCTCTGGGTAAAAAACCAGGTCACTAGTCAAATTTTGTTGAAATGTTTGTTTTAATGGTATCTTGGAAAATTAGATCATGGGTCATTTTGGGTTGGATAATTAAATTAAGTCACCAGGTCAAATCAATGAGAAATTTGTAAACACTAAGAGACCATTTTTTTATCAAGCCTGAATGAACTTTGCATTGCATGTCTGTCTTGATAACTTCTAGATTAGATTTTAATACAGGACAGGCGTAAAAATAAACTAATTTAGGCTTAACACACAAACACTGTAAGGCACAGTTTTGATTTAATCTTCTTCACACTTAGGGAAAATGTTTTGTTGTTGTTTTTTAAAACATCTTTAAAACAAGATGCTTTGACATTAACACCAGGTCCTGTTCTGTGCATAAGTAGATCTTCAGTTAACACACCTGATTAACTTGTACATTGATAAAAAAAACGAATGTTTACTCATACGATATTGTGTAATAAAATACAATATACAATCTATAAAATTATCACATAGATGCATATGATATCTTGATATGATGTTTATAAAAAAGTAAACGTTCAGATCTTCATGATGAAAGCGTTTCAACTGATCAAGAGATATATATGTATAGAGAAGTTTCTAAAGGTAACAGAGAAAACAGCTTTGATGACGTTGGCATTATTTTGAAGATTTATGCTCTTAACTTTGCAGGCAATTGTAGCAGCTATGTTTTATATAAAAATATATAAAAATGTGTTCAGAATATTTACCACCAAAAGATCTTGATTGTTTGATTGAATCAGCCTGACAATGACATACATGAAAGAGTTGTGGTCTGTCAAGCGGCCAATTTCATTTTATTGCATGATAATATTTCAATTTTTTGTTTGAATAGAATTTAACATAGGGGCATCCATGGCCAAGTGGTTATGGTCATTGTTTTTGTCATTGACTTCAAACCACTTGCCTCACTGTTATGAGTTCAAATCTTGTAAGGGGCTTTGGATTCCTTATGTGATGAAGCTAACCAGTTTGCTTATGGAACAGCAGTCCACATTCATTTTCATAACATTAATATATATAAATTTTTATCGTATATTTATGTGCTTGAAAACTTAGTCTTTGTTTAAATGAGAAAAGTTCTGGTCACAGAATTTTATTATCTTTTACAGTTCAATGATGGCTGTGGCAAGGGACGATTTCCATGTTTATATTATAGACATAGATACTAGAAAAGTTGTAAGAAAGTTCATAGGTCACGATAACAGAATAACAGATATGGTAAGTATAGATTAGCTCTGACTTTGCTGAAACAGAAAGTAATTAGCCCTTGCCACCTGTATGCTGTCAGACCAGCCTCTACACTGTTGGTTGACTAACTTAAAAAAATTCACCTTGATTTTCCCCAAAATTGATAACATGCTTTATACATTTGCTTTGCGTAATGTAATTTCCTTTCTAAGAATAAATTCTTTATGCCTTTGTTTGGGAGTCAAATCAATGTTTTTTGTGAGAGGTCAAATGTCAAGGTTATACAAGAGAGGTCAAGGTTTTTATTTAGAGACATCAAAGCTATGAATAAGAGGTCAAAATGTGAAGGTTATTAGATGTCCAGACTAATTATTAAAGGTCAAATGTTTGAAGCAGCAGTATGATGTGTGCATCTTGATTGATTTTTGATGTGGGTCCATATTTTTATTACAGACTTTCAGTGCAGATGCAAGATGGTTGATCACAGCTGCCATGGATTGTACACTCAGAGTCTGGGATCTACCAACCGGCAGGTAATAGTTACTGTGAACACTTTGAACAGACAGTTATTTTGGTGATTTACATTTATTGTTGAAATTAAACTGCACACCCAGAAACAACAAATGACCCATAGTCCTTACCCTGTTGAAACCTTTACTGTGTAATCTGATAATACTGTGTAGTCTCTCATGTTGGATGACAAAGGCATGTGTATATTTTAATTTGATAGCATTTGACTTCACAGGAAAATATTTGCTTTACCCGATCAGTAGAGTCTTTCTGCTATACTCAAGTTGTTGCTTTTACAGATTGGTAGATTGTTTCTTGGTTGACAGTGCTGTAATGTCATTGTCAATGTCACCAAACTACGATTTCCTCGCCACTTGTCACCTTGACGATGTAGGGATCTACCTGTGGGCCAACAAAACACTGTTCTCACATGTGCCACTTACAGCGTTGCCAAGCAACTATGAACCACAGATGATTGAAATGCCCACAACCAGGAAACATACTGCAGGTATAATATAATATTAGGACAAAAACCAGTTATGGTTATGTGTGCATCAGTTAGGTTTGGATAGGTGGGGGGTTTTTTTGTAAAGAAAAACATTAAATGTATGTAGGAAGAATATGATTTCGTTTGTGACATAATTTGAAGAACAGTCAAGAACACTGTAATTTAATACACTTACAGGGACTCCACTTGGCTTTTTTTGACATGACAGGACTGGAAATAATTTTAGATTAATGTTCCATTTGATGTAGGTCTAGACAAATAACTTATGGACAAAATTTAAGATCATTGGCTCTCTTTGTTTTTCAAGAATAATTTTTCTAATGGAGAAAATGACCCAAAATTGAAAGGCCTTACAAAATATGTTATTGTCGTAAAAAAATGTCTTTTTACACATGCAACATTGTTTTCTTACTTTGTCTTTTTCTCTTAAAAGAGGTTTGAGGTAAGTAGGTTAAAGCCTAAGGTCAATATTTTTTTGGTAATGTCACTTTTAGGAGTGAAATGTTACTAGAAAATAAAACTTGTTTGTCTACCTCAGAAATATGAAACAAGTATAGAGAAAAGTTTAGTCAGTTCTATAATGAATGTATTGAATTGTTTTGTTTAATTTCACAGCAGAAGATGTTGACGAGGATATTAAGGAAGAGGAAGAAGAATTCATCCGTGCCGAGTTCAAATCTTCCGAGCAGATCAGTCACGAATTAATCACACTTTCGTTACTACCCAACTCTAGATGGCAGAATCTGCTTAACTTAGATGTTATCAAGGTATTGTTACTTCTTCATTGATCAATTTAGACTTCAGTTACCTTTGCTCCATTGTCTAATGTTTGGCCACTTTTGTTAATATCTTTATTTTGTTGTATTTTGAATATTTAGCCAAATACAAAAATTACCTAACCTATAAAAGACCACTGCCCTGTTTTTATCACTCTAAACATTACCAATTAAATCCAGAAGAATACATAAGGAAATTTCTATGAGTCCATGGATTATTTATATTTCATACAAGGTTTTATAAAATTGAAAACTATCATGGCAACATGTAAATTTATTCTGTTTTTAACCTGTAAAATTCTATTTATACAGAATGTCTGTTTAACTTTCACAACTTCAGATTTCATTTCAAACAATAACAGAATAATACTTGCCAAGGTTATACAACTATTTATCAGCAGGGCAGTCTCACTAATGAGATGGTCTCATAACTTGGAGTTTTCATTGTTTACATTATAGTGATTAATGAATACTTTATAATAAGGGTCATTTAATTTTTATCTGAGCATTTTCAAAACAATTATCATTAATGGCCTAAGAAATATTAGAAAATTAACAGTAGTTAATATGGTTATCATTTTGTCAGTTGAGGAAGCTTTATAAGTCAAACATGTTTTGACATTTAAGATATTGTTTTTTTTTTAATTTATTCATTACAGTTGTTCTTGAAAATTTCATATTTCTTAAGGTTTTGATAATAAGTTAGGAAATTATCTTTATTTGTAATTTGCAGTGTAAGTAGATTGAATTTTCTTGTTACTGATAATGAGATGATGAATGAAAAATGAGAATGTTTTCTTTTCAAAAGCAAAGAAACAAACCCAGAGAGCCACCAAAAGCACCTAAAGCTGCACCCTTCTTTCTGCCAACTGTAGCCGGCCTGGAACCTAAATTTGCTGTAGATGATGAAGGTGCTGGAGAGGGCAGGAACAAGGTAAGAATGAACTCTATAGATCCTGGCAATGCTCGTATTTGAACAAAATTTATAAAGAAATTCCCTGAGTTGAAACAGGGGTGTTTGATTGGTTGGAAACTGACACAGAATCTACACAGACCAATGAAAATCCCTGAGAGAGAACTCCCATTACCTTGTAAAAGTCTTGTAATAGACTTTGTACATGTATACTGAATTTGTGAACCTGTTCATTGTAATTTAAGGGATTTGAATATTTAAAATGAAATTGTTATAAATTGAGAGAAGCTGTAATAGGGAAAACATTAGGTTGTGCATGCTTGATTTGCAAGTTCAGCTGATTGAAATAGAAAGTAGTGAATAGTTTAATGTGTGGGGCTATTCTTTATACCACGGGTGTGACATTAGTGTTGTACTTAGTTAAGGGTTAAGGTGCCACTTTACAGTGTATATCTCAGTCACAACTTAAGGAATTCATTTAAAGTTCTACCTTCTCAACTAGGGAAAGCATTCTTTTTATACTTAGTTTATGTGTTGAAGATCAGTGTTGTAGTCCGAGACCAAAATCTGTATTTCTAGCTTATGTTATTAGTACTGAATTATCCCCCTTTTATGAGCTTGGAAAATTCTGCATGGCAAATGTTTAACTGGCAATTATGAGAAAAATCAAGTGCACTGTATATCTGAGAGCTGTTGTTGTTTTTCAGGGTAAAGTCCAGGCAGGAAATCTTATGCCATTATGTACATTGGGACAGTTATTAAAGGAAGGAAGTTCAAAATCAAACTGTAAGTTACAATTACAATGTATATAAATCTAATACATAATGAAACAATCAAGAAATTCTTACATGGTACACATGTGACAGTAAAGTGCTTGTATAAGTATTTTAAAACTGCAAGTTTTACCTATTTTCAGCTAGGATGTCATATATATGAATTGTTAATAAGTATACACACCTGCAGCTTTGTAAATAAATTTCCTAAAAGTTAAAGTATATTTACTTTTGTTATCACTGGTCACCATTTGTCTACCCCTTTATTTTTTCTTGTGTAAACCTTTGCTTGTCCTATTATATTATGTCCAAGCTTTAATGCTTAAATTGGTCTTTTATAGTACTATGCCATTAATTAAAATTAATTTATTTATCCCTAGATGATAAAGTCACAGAGTATATGAAGAGCCTTGGACCTTCAGCTGTGGATGTTGAGATTCGGTCCCTGGCACCAGAGATGGGTGGCTCGGTGGTAGTCATGTGCAATTTTCTACAATTTGTTCAGTCGGTCTTACAGACCAACAAAAACTTTGAAATTATTCAGGCTTATTTAGGATTGTTTCTAAAGGTAAGTGCATGAATATGTGTTTATTTAGATACTTTTTGCTGAAAAAGTATTGTATCATAACTTGCTGGAACCGTAAGTGAATAGCCTTTGCCGCCAGTATAGAACCAGGCCAGCTTGCACATCTGTGCAGTCATCCAGGCCCTATACTGTTGGTAGCTCAATTTTTGTATTTTTATATAAAAATCCCTTAAACTTTGAATAGAATTTCCTATAGACAGAACTGGTTAATCTATTACACAAATTCAGCATGTTATGAGTTGATTTTAAGTCATGGGTGATGGCATTCTGTTGCTGCTGCATTTATACATTTAAATGATAAAATAATGAACATATAAGTTAGGAAATAAACAGTTCAGTATCCATGTGAACATTTAAGTTTTGAAATGAACAGTACAGTAGCTTTATGAACTTTTGTATTATGAAATAAACAGTAGTGTCTCTTAATGAAAAGTCAGGAAACTTGCATATCTTTTATTGTAATTCCATGATATTTTGCAACCTTAAAGGTTATTCCTTTATTATGAATGTCACATAAATATACCTTAAGATCTAATTTTGCTAGTTGTTAGTTTTTCCTGTATTTAAAATTAACTGATGGTGCCTTTTAATCTTATTTCGCAGGTTCATAGTGAAATTCTGTCAAGTGAGCCAGAAGTTGTGAAGGAACTAGAGAAATTATCTGATCTACAGTCAACCTCATGGTGTACTGTACAAGATTTGTTTAATCAGACATTATGTTTAGTTAACTATCTTAGAACAGCTGTGTTATAGTTATAAATAAAATCTGTAAAAAGATAAAAATAAAGAAACGTGTTCTTTCATAATTTTTAACAAAAAAAAGAAAAAAAGGTTAGTAAAGTCATGATACATGTTATCCTTCTGTCGGCAACCGGTTACGTGCAGTCTAACCAGGCTCTATACTGTTGATAGACATCTTTTCTTATTTTCATTGTGATATCGCTAAAACTGATAGAGGACTGTTCCAGAATAGAATTTATAGAAATTCAGCACTTTTTTTCAAATTAAAAGGTTACAAAGTCTATCAAACAAGCTTATTATTGTTAAAATTATATTAATCATGTCTAAGTCCATAAGTAAGAAAGTGTTTTAGTACTATTGAGTATTGAATAGCAATACACAATGTACGACCTTTGTACGTGTATACCTTTTCTGTGTGATTGTAATACTTAAACATGCAGAATTTGAAAGGATCTGACCCAATATACGGCCAATAATATGAGTGACCTTCCTACTCCTGCAGTGATTAGCTGGGAAAGGTTAGTGCTATCAAAATTGAATGGTGATCTTTATCTAATGACCCCCCCCCCCCCCACACACACACACCTAAATAATTTTAAAAAAAACAAAGGTAACTCAAGGAATCATACAAACTGCGTGAAAGCTTACAAAATGTTCATATTCTAAAATTTATGTCACTTGCAAGTTGCAACCCCAGTAAAAGATTTTTATATACATGTAATGTTGGTAGGGAAAAAACAAATGCCCGTACATGTGCAGACACTACATACATTTTTTTAACGATTTATCATCACACAAAAAAGTCCAACATTAAAGTCGATTAAAGTGGATTTATAATGTTTGCCCCTACATGTGCAATGGTTAAAGTTATAACACATCAAGTTAGTACGAAAGCCTAATAGTGTCAAATAAAATAAAAATGCAAAGGCGTTATAACGCGAATAAAGGCATTATTACGCGAATCAAAAGGCGTAATAACGCGAATAAAGGCGTTATAACGCGAATCAAAAGGCGTAATAACGCGAATAAAGGCGTTATAACGTGAATCAAAAGGCGTAATAACGCGAATAAAGGCGTTAATATAACGCAAATCAAATGGCGAAATAACGTGAATTAAGGCATTATTACGCGAATCAAAATTTATAGTAAATGAATTTCTTATCTTTTCTTTTCTTACATCTTATCTTATCTTATATGTGCGTCATATGTTCAATTATCTACGGATATGTCCTGTATAATTACTTAATATCCTGTAGTATCTTCTAATTATGTGAATGTCGTTCCCAATTACGCTATAGGTAATAGGCTATAGGTAACAAGATTTGGAAAAAACGTAAGGTATTAGTAAATCACATTAGGGTGAAAGTATATCTTAATTATTGATAGGTATGCTTAGAAGGTTGATCAAAGTGTTTCTGTTAAGTTACAATTATAGGAGACATTGTCTTCTTTGTCCTTGTAGAAAAGTATCTATAGTTGGGTGAAAGTAACCTCTAGTCCGACGAAAGCATTTCCTAATAAAAGATTTTAAAAAATCAGACTGTGGTCTTAGGACGTATCCGTACAGAATTGAAAATAAAACGTACATCTTGATCAATTCATTTTGATCAATATTGTTCTTCCTTTCTTACATGACGAGGCCATTGTTTGGAATTTATATGGTATAAAATAAGCGTTATAACGCCTTTTGCTTTGCATTATTACGCCTTTTGGTTCGCGTTATTACGCCTTTTGTTTCGCGTTATAACGCGAATAAAGGCGTTAAAACGCGAATTGAAAGGCGTTATAACGCGAATTAAAAGGCGTAATAACGCGAATAATAACGCGAATAAAGGCGTTATAACGCGAATTGAAAGGCGTAATTACGCGAATCAAAGGCGTTATAACGCGAATAAAGGCGTTATAACGCGAATTGAAAGGCGTTATAACGCCTTTATTCGCGTAATAACGCGAAACAAAAGGCGTAATCACGCGAATCAAAAGGCGTACTAACGCGAATCAAGGCGTTATAACGCGAATAAAAAGGCGTAATAACGCGAATAAAGGCGTAATAACGCAAATTGAAAGGCGTAATAACACCTAAATTCGCGTAATAACGCGAAACAAGTCTCCAAGTCACCTTATAATTATTGACAAATATCAAAGAGTCTTCATTAGTTTATGACAAATAGTTTGCAATATTACTGCGCAAATGGAATGATAGTTATTGTAAATGTGTTTTATAGGAATATGAATAGGCTAAGAAATTTTTAAAAAATCACAAAAGTACAACCTTATACATGTACAAATTTTGCCTCGTTGAAGCGCGGGAAAAAAGACGCACGTGCTAGGCGTGCAACGACTACGCGAACGCTGCGCATACAAAAATAAGTTTATACTCATCATTGCGGTGTAACCTTTAAGTATAATAGTAAAGTATTGATATTTTAATCGAGAAATATGCCATAAAGAACAAAAAGCAACAATTATTTTTTAATTAACTCGCGTAATTAACAGTCTTACGGTGTATGATCATTGAATATGAGTCTCAATCTATTTTAGACTGGGAAAATCCAATTCAGCCAGTGAATATGATACTACACCCAGTAAATATGATTTTATAAAAAGTTCTGTTGACTACTGTTTGGACCAATGAGATTGCAGCTATATTTAGATCATATAATAAATTATATTATTCTATACGAGTTTATATCTTAAGCAATAAATTCAGATCAATATTGTTCTTCCTTTCTCACGTTACTAGTCCATTTGATAAGTATAAATATGGTATAAAATTGACATTATAATGCGTTTAAATTTGCGTTATTACGCCTTTTAGTTCGCCCTACTACGCCTTTATTCGCTTTACTACGCCTTTTGATTTGCGTTATTACGCCTTTTGTTTCGCGTAACTACGCCTTGATTCGCGTTACTACGCCTTTTGATTCGCGTTACTACGCCTTTATTCGCGTTACTACGCCTTTTGATTTGCGTAATTACGCCTTTTGATTCGCGTAATAACGCCTTTATTCGCGTTATAACGCCTTTGCATTTTTATTTTTTTAATTTTATTTGACACAATTAGGCTTTCGTAAGTTAGCGATTCATGTGTACTTTTTGTTACTTTCGTATTCGTTCCCTTTGAGGGATCGTAAATTGTCAGACTTTAAGTTGTTTTAAACATATTTTATTTAGAATATTTGTACATATGTAAATAACAACATAACAATAATTATAGATTTTGGCCGAAAGCAGAAGCTTATAGAAGCCATTATCTAACAATAACAATCTTCAATGTCTGTGGTGGTTGTAATTAACAAGTTACCAAAAAGTGAAAACATTTGATAATGCAAGATTGAAAAGAAAAAATGTTAATGGTAAGGACAAAATTTTAGTAAGTTTTGACAAAAATTAAATAAAAAACTACAGAAAACAACTAAAGAAAAAAAACACAAAAAGGACATTAAACAAATAAAGATAAGAACAATAGAAAAAGAATATAAGCAGCATAGCAGTTGCAGTCAGACATTATATAAATCGTTTCGTAGAATCAATATAAAGGTATACGGCCTTGAAAAGCTCTACGTTTTTGTTGTTTGAAAGGGAATGAGAACCATGCAATAGCAGAGTGTGAGTTATGATCAAGGATCTATCTAGCTGTATGATGTTCCTATAGAGAATATCTCGCATATGTTGATACAAAGGACAGTTTAGAAGAAAATGACACACTGATTCTGTTTGACCACAGGCGCATGTGTTTGATTCGGAAATATTTTTTCGGAAAAGATCATCATTTAAGGAACTACAGCCAAGTCTTAAGCGAGTATGCAGGATTTGAAGTTTGCGAGGCCCTGTGGACTTTAAGTTGTCCATTGCGACCTCGGTGTCTATGGAAAAGATACTTCAAAACGTGACGTATACATACAGGAAAGGAGGATTGATACAAAACTACTGATGTTTTACCAGAGAGCCTAGACTGATGGATATACTAACGCCGTCTTGCAGTGCACCTCTTACATTCACTATACATGCACCCTATCCTTGATCAGTTAATTTGCCATGTTAATTCTGCCATTTTCAGCTTCAAGTTTTTATGGCGACGTTCAGAGTTTCTTCGACTTTGTTTGTGTCGTGTGTGCGTTGTAAAAAGTCTTCCCTTATTCTTATTCGATTAATATAATAATAATGATGATGATGAATAATAATAATGATGATGATAATAATAACAATGACTACTGAAACGGGCAACACGGTTCAAGTCCAGTCTTCCATATGAGCCTCTTACCAAAATGTATATATACATGTATACAGTTACAATGATCAAAGACAAATGGTACTGAAAAAAATATAAAAAAATATTGAAAGTTAACATTTTTAAACATGACATAAACTTTATCAGCAACATGTGTGATTTAATTTACAACACATCTGGAAGCGTTCCTAACAGAGAACCACCATTTTGAATGTTTGCTACTTCATGTTTAAAGGGAAGGGAGTTCCAAATTTTTGTGCTTAAATACGAATCTGATTTTCTGGAGAACTTGGATTTGACAATAAGATCTTACATTCGATCTTTTCATTTCGAATTAAACGCGTGGACCTTACAGTATTTTTTCATGAATATTCCTCTATGAAATCTGTATAATATCATGGAATGGCATGAACTGGTTAAGTAAGTTTAGTTTATACGAATTTGTTTTAGTTCGTTTGTGCTGGAAGCTAAATATTAATATCTTTTTGCCCCGAAACGGCATATTATATACATGTATTTATACTTAATACCGGATATGACTCACCTCAGATCGGAGTTTACTCCCTTTGATGAAATCACGCCATTTGTAACCAATTAACAAAAATCTAGGCCAGTTTTTATCAGAGGAAAAGAATGACTTAAAACAGCTCGACAAAAGGATACTTTGATATTATGTATTATTAGAAAATTAAAATAAAGAAAATAGTAAAATGGCTGACCATATTTCCAGTAGTGAGGACGAAGCGGAGAGAACTGTATCGCACACTTTCGATTTCACAAAGAAGACCTGGAAAGACGACGTCGCTTTTCTAGTTGAAGGCAGAAAACTGTTTGCTTCTAAAAGCATTTTGGCGCTAGTTTCGCCTGTGTTTGAAAGTATGTTCGGGTCGCAATTTGCGGAAAAATTTCAACATGAGGTTCCATTGCCTGGCAAAAAATTCGACGAATTTCACGAGTTTTTGCAATGTATTTATCCAACGTCACAAAGACTTGTTAGCGAGTTAAATGTCAACTGGTTGTTACCACTTGCAGATGAATACCAAGTGAAATCCCTTGTCAAAAGGTGTAACAAATTTTTAAATGCCTACCTTTTGGCTAAAGATGATTTGTCAACATCTTACTTCATGAAATGTTATGAAATGGCGAGCCGGTACCGTTTGAATGATGTTAAAAGCCTGTGTGCAGCTATTCTGGCAGAAAAAGAAATAGGTGAATTAGAAGAAGCCAAGAGTGTTTTGCAAGAGCAAGAAACTTTTGTTAAACTTCAGAGTGACATTATAAGTAAACAAGGAAAGGAGCGTGAAGAAAGACGAACAGAACTTGTGAAGATCTGTATGAATATGGACATGAACAAAAATCTGTTAACCAGTAATATCAGAGGCTTTGAATTAGCTAAAGGTGCGACTATTGAGTTGAAGCCTTCAGTCGAAGCTCTGCTTCAAAAGCAACCACAATATAGTGTCCCAGTTCGGATTTGGGATCTCTACTTTCAGTTACAAATTGCTCTTCATTTAAAACATGATGGTGAGCAGAGTTTGAAATTTAAGTTGAAATGTACTTTTCCTAATGATGGGGTTGCCTGGGTTTGTGAGACGAAAACCAGATTATGTTTGAAAAACCAATACGATATTCCAAGTGCTTCAAATATTTGTCACAACTTAAATCGAAGTTTCCTCTGCAGAGAAAGTGACCATGCTGTTGGTTTTCAAACATTGTCACCAATTTTAAAGAATGACTCCGGATTTGTGAAAAAGGATAAACTGCACATCATAGTACACTTTTTCGCAAACAAGCCATATGTGGAGTATTCACAACAGTTGCTCGATCAACAGCAACGGCGTTAATTGGAGCTTGGAAAACTGATGAGAAATAGTTATGGTCAAAAATTGAGGACATATATTACACAATTTATTGAATGAAAATTGTTAATAAAAAACCCCCCCACAAAACCCACAGTAATTCAAGTTTTTAGTAATGGATTTCTAACAAGTTTGAGTTGAAATATTTGTGTGTGTAAATATCAATATTTATATGTGTAACATGTAAAGTAAAGAGTACAGTTTAATTTGAGTTTTGTAACAGGAATTGAATCAGTAGTGCATGTATATTTTTCAAGATTTTTTTAGCTTATTTTATGGCCGATCTTATAAATTCAACAAACGAGTTGCTTTTGAAAAATTTAGCTTTGAATATCAAAAATGCATTATCTCTTAGAACTACATTTACTTACAATTAATTGTAGTTTATCCTCATTAAATAATTGGTAAAAAATGTAAATATGTTATTTCTCTGTGACAGTTATGCATATTGGATATTGTAAATTGTATATATTTGTATATGTAATGATGTACATATTGTACAAGTCATGAATAAATTTATTGTTTTGTTCTGTCATGTTTGCATTTATTTAATCACTTCAAAATTTCAGTAATTTATTTTTTTCCCAATTTTTAGCAAAACATCGCCAAAATTTCCCTTTTCCATGGGTATGGGTCATGTTCCCAAAATTCTTGAAAAAAACCTGTTTTTAGAATTTATGTGTATATTAAATCCCAAAATTGCTTTTAAAGCAGCCTTCACCTTTTCTAAAGATTTATTATGTTATTATTTAGAGAAAAAGTTTCATATAATTGTCAAATCAAAAGAATTAAGATGGAAAATGAAATTAACCAATGATAAAATACATAAACAATAAGAGTCCACTCCCTATTCAAATTTGTAAATCTGACGAATTGTTTCCCGATCTTCTATTTTTAGAAACAAATGTCACTTTCGCGTTAAAAGTAGCTCTCTGGACCCTGTTTTGAAGAAGGCTTAACAGTCATTACAGTGGTATGATGGACTTTTTCATGATGAAGTTACCGAAATACTTAGTTTTGAAACAAGGAATTGTTTTTCCAACAGAAAATTAAAGCTGAAGGCCACTTTAATAATTGAGCCGTGTCACGACAAAACCAACATAATGGGTTTGCGACCAGCATGGATCCAGACCAGCCTGCACATCCGCGCAGTCTAATCAGGATCCATGCTGTTCGATATCAGTTTCTCTACTTGTTATAGAGTTTGTAAGCGAACAGCATGGATCCTGCATGGAAGTGCAGGCTGGTCTGGATTCATGCTGGTCGCAAACGCATTATGTTGGTTTTGTCGTGACACGGCTCATATGTATTATCTTTACACTAGAATTTAATGTTCCCAATACAACATTCTTAAGACATACATGAAATATAAATTAACTTGTATTTCATTAGTTATTGCACTGGGCAGAGTTGATAGTAGAAATTAAATTGGCAAATGAATAACGTGAATGATATTATTTTTTCTGATCTAAACAAAATTCTTTATGTACATGTATTATGCTATATATGTTCAACATTAATGTACTGAACGTCACTCCACCTCCATGGCAGTGAGGGTAATTGGGGTATTGAGTTTTGTCTGATATAGTATAGGGCTATGGTTTTGTTTTGGAGTTAAAATAGCAGTGAATATGTCCTAACTGGTGGAAAAAGTGCATTTCTTCTGACTGCCCCCTAATAAGAAATTGATGATTATGAAAGAAATGCACCAAAATGATTCCCAATTGCAGTTATTCAGTTCTTTTAAGAATATTTTGCTGGACTGGATTCTGCTAAGTCAAGTGAACTTTTTGATTCTTGCATCAACTCTTCATCTGTCACTTTGAGAATATTTTGTTATGTTTACACATGTACATTTGAAAATTTTGAATATTGGTCTTTTTGGGTGAAAAGCTGCCACTGAAAATATGGATGAAACAATGTTTCACTCAAGAAATGTTTTGATTAAGTTATATAATGAAATTTGTTTAGAGTGACTGTCATGATATTTTCTTTATCAACTTCAAATATAGATCACTGATGTTTATTAAGGGAAAATCTTAATGAGCTTTAGATATGGTGGCTTAATTGGGTTTTTAGCTCACCTGAGCACTAAGTGTTTCTGGTCATAGGTGAGCTTTTGCGATGCACGTTATTGGTTGTCTGTTAACTTACTCATTGTTATCCACAATTTCCTTAACATCACCACTTGGTGGATTTTGACCAAACTTCACAAGAATTATCCTTAGATGGCTCTCTACAAAAGTTATGTAATTAGCTCCAGTCTCTTGAAACATAAGTAGGAGCTAAAATAGATTTTAAAAAATGAAATCTTTAAAAATCATTCTCTCATAAACTACAATGCCCAGAGCTTATAAATATTAAGCATGTACCATCACCTTAGAGTTCCCTAGTTGATGATTTCTAGGTCAGTCACCTTTGATAAAAAACACTAGGTCAAAGGTTTTGGAAAATCTTGTAATTTTAGTGTACAGACAATATGGTCCACTTGTCTCAGCAGGAGATGCAATGTTCATTTAGGAGAGCAAAATAGGGTTATCATAGCTCTCTTGTTCACTTTTAGTACATGTACTGTATGCGAGAGTCGGGCACAACTTCCCTTCAGGCTTGTTGTACAGTAGCATTTCGCTCATACTATACCGATAATGAATTGACCGCCTTAAGGGACCAAAAAGAGGTGGATGGATCTCATTGAGGAGGAGTGCAGTGCACAAGAATGATAACTATACCTTTCATAATTTTTGAGTTATTGCCCTTTGTTATTTTTCATACCTAATTTTTCACCTGAGTTGAGCATAACTCAAAAAGTGTTTGAGATATCAACATGAAATGTCATAGGTGGATAGATCTTATTGAGGAGAAATGTTGTGCGCAAGAATGATAACTCTTCCCTATACAATTTTTGAGTTATTGCCCTTTGTTTTTTTTCATGCTATTTTGTCCAGAGCTTATCTGAAAAAGTATTTGAGGTATCAACTTGAAACTTCAAAGATGGATGGATCTCATTGAGGAGGAGTGCAGTGCTTAAGAATGATAACTCTACCCTGCATTATTTTTGAGTTAGTGCCCTTTGTTATTTTTCAAAATTAATTTTTGTCCAGAGCATAACTCAAAAAGCCTTTGAGATTAAAATGAAACTTCATAGGTGCATAGATCTCACTCAGGAGGTGTGCACTGCACAAGAATGATAACTCTACCTTTTATAATTGTTGTGTTATTGCCCTTTGTTCTTTTTCATACTTAATTTTTCAATTCAATTTTTTTCTCAAAAAGTATTTGAGGTATCAACTTGAAACTTCATAGGTGGATAGCTTTTACTGAGAAGCACACAAGAATGATAACCTACCCTGCATTATTTTTCAGTAATTGCCCTTTGTTATTTTCAGCCATCAGTATTCACATAGGTTTCAAATCTGTAATCACTATAGCCATCAGTTTTCATTACCAAAAGACCTCTTAAAATGGAATTATTCCGCTCTACTACATATACATTCTTCCAATGAGCAAATTAACACATTCGGCGGGGGATGGCCATGTTGACATGGCTCTTGTTATAAAGGTGATCCTTCCATCTGCAAGCAGTTATTATTGTCATTATAAAGGTTATCCTGTAGCCAACCAGTTATTATAGTCACTATAAAGGTTATTCTTTCTTCTGCAACTGGTTATTATAGTCATTATAAAGGTTATCCTTCCGTAGGCAATCGGTTAGTGCGCATGCGTGAAAAATGGTAGCAAATTTTGAAAAGCTCTTGGTAAAAATTGAGAAAAAATGGATTAAATCTCTAAATCAGACGGATTATTGTTAAAATAGTGTATGTATGGAAGTATTGTAACTGTATTAAAAGTTTCAAATGCCCAGAAAACGTAAAAAGACAAAAGAATCACCGGGTAACGTGCAATCTGTGACAAAACGTTCAAACACAATGGAACAAAATGGCGGAGGAATTCAAATGGGTACACCAAATATGACCGGTAGTCAATACCAGGCAAGTCATAACTTTTGTTTACCACCCCAACTACCATATCAAAGCTGTAATAATCAATATATGGCAATGAATTCAGCGTCACCATTATTCTCACCAGAAACTTCACCTCGAAACGTGAATACACAAAGTGATATGATGACCATTATTATACAAAGATTAGATTCGATGGACAAGAAACTCAGCCATTTAGAAACTATTCAGTCTAGTGTGAACTCGTTAACGGTAAAGTCAGACACTATGAGCAAGCAGATAAAATGTAATAGAATCCAAAATCCAGGACATTGAAAACAGCCGAGCCTTTGACAGCAGTTTATTAGACAGTATAAACAAAAGGCAGGATGAGCTCGAAAAAATGATACAGTCTATGAAAAAAAGAGTGAACAAAAAAGCTCAGAAGATGATTTGAAAGCTGAAAATTATAGACCTAAAATGTAGAAGTATGAGAGATAATTTGATATTCTATAACCTTTGTGAAGAGAAAGATGAAAACTGTGAGGACAAGATATTATCCTTCCTAGAAGATAAGCTGAAAATCAATGACGCAAAATCGAACATTAAACTTCATAGAGCTCATAGAATAGGGAAATATAGCCACCAGAAAATAAGACCTATAGTTTGCAAAGTTTGCATATTTTCCAGACAGGGAGAAGGTCAGAAAATCATCAAAACAATTAAACGGCACACCGTTCGGGATCAGCGAACAATTTCCCCGTGAAATCATAGAGACTAGAAAACAGTTAATCCCAATCATGAAAAAAGCACGGGAAAACGGTGATGAGGCATTTTTGAAGGTTGACAAGCTGTACATCAATAAGCAATTATACAACGGTAACGGTACGAAATAGGTTACACGTGAGAGTGTTGTGAAATGTGTGTCATGGAATGTTGAAGGATTTAGCGAGGCAAAACGATCTTCGTCCGAGTTTTTAGCTGTATTGAAAGACTTTGATATTATATGCTTGTCGGAAACCTGGACTAACAAAAAGTCGAAAATTGACCTTAACGGATACAGTAATCCGATCCATTCATACAGACGCTTTCAGCATAGGAGGGCACGAAGATCTAGCGGGGGACTTATAGTTTATATAAAGGATAATTGCCGTAAGGGGTTAAAGTTGTTCAAAATGACATTGATTGGCTTAATTTGGCTAAAACTGGATAAAACATTTTTTCAAATAGAAAAAGACATATATTTTGCAGTAACCTATATAGCGCCAGAAAATTCTCCTATTCACAATACGTATGACGTTGATATTTTTTAGAAAAAATTGAAAATGATATAAATAGATATAGCACATTAGGAAAAGTATTTGTTTCGGGCGACCTTAACTCTAGGGTTGGTAAAAAAACATGATTATATTGATAACGATCGAATAATAGGAAA